GATGGGGAGAGTCCTTTGCCTTCTACCCGGCAGTCTCATCTATAGTCTACGCCTGCAAACATCGGTCGATTCCACTGGCCCTTGCATCCCGTACCCAGACCCCCGATCTGGCGCGCGACATGCTCAAATCCCTGCATATCATCCCCACATTCTCCGATAACCCCGCCGCGAACGCTAAGACCATCCGCGCGCTCGATTACTTTGATTTTATCCAGATCTACCCCGGGAATAAGACATCGCATTTCTCGAAAATTCAACAGACGAGCAGTGTCGCTTACGAGGATATGCTGTTCTTCGATGATGAGGCGCGGAACCGAAACGTGGAGACGGAGTTGGGGGTCACATTTTGCTTGGTGCGCGATGGGATGACCAGGGAGGAGGTCGACCGGGGCGTTCGAGCTTGGAGAAAGCGTAGTGGTATCAAACTAGAGACAGCGGAGGAATCATGAGGGTCATTGGCTGTTTTATGCAGTGGTTCCTATGTTGGGGGGATATTGTGCTTGAGACTTGGTTTTAGATTTTAGATACCCCGGCTTGGAATATATATGACGGATACATTTTCCTATGCTTCACCGCAATCCTCCGATGTCAATAACATTTGGATAAAGTAACATTTTCAACCATATCATACACTTCGATCTGTCCATCCATAGACCCATGCCAGACGTTTGATCGAGCTGACTAAGGGACGTACCCCAACCTTCGAAAAAGCGGCGCTAGCTAGCTCCAAAACAGTGCGACCATAGATCTCCCCAAAACACATACCTCCTCCAACAGAAACCACCAAAATGGCGACCCTCAAACCTCCGACAAATACCCACCGCTCCTCATCCTCCTCCCACAGCTCCGGCCCACCAAAAGCCCCCCTAAAAGCCGACCCAACAGCCACAATCGCCGACACCGTCGTCTTCCAAGGCCGATACTCCGTCACCATCGGCGCAGGGACAGTCATCCACCCGCGCGCAAAATTCTACGCATACGAAGGCCCAATCGTTGTCGAAGACGGCTGTATTATCTGCGAGAAAGCAGTAATTGGCGCTCCACCGAGTTCATCTCGCTCACCCTCACCGTCCAGACCAGCAAGCACAACACCGACCGAGTCTGGGGCGTCGACGCCCGAGCCTAAGAAAGAGACATCGACGCGGATTTCATACTTTGTTACTATTGGTCCGTTGGCGACCGTCGAACCCGGTGTTCATATCCACTCTTCTGCTACGATCGAGGCTCTGGCGACGATTCGTCGGGGCGCGGATATCGGTGCGCACTCGAAGGTGTNGCGCGGATATCGGTGCGCACTCGAAGGTGTGTTCCGGGTGTGAAATTGCCACTGGTGGATCTGTTGCCGAGTGGGTTGTTGTATATGGACAGGGCCCGGGAATGCGGAGGAAGAGAGCTCGTGTTGTGAAGGGCATGAGTCCGGCTGTTGTGGGTGCGGCGCAGGTTTCCCAGACGCCTCTTCCTAGTCCTGCGCCGGCGGGTAAGGTTATTGAGGATGCGAGATTGATGGTTTTGCAGAAGGAGAGGGAGGTTCTTGGGAGGATGCTTGTTCCTGCTGCTGGGGGGAGGAAGAAGTGATTACAAGATATTTTCTTGTAGATGTTCTTTTTTGTTCTGGACTTGCGTTCTTCTATATCGGATATGATTTGTTTTCTTGGATAGATTCGTGTCTTCTAGCAGCTTATACCCCAGTTTTCGTTTACAGTGGCCAGACCATCGCGGGTGTTTACAATGATAATGCACAATATACCTTGCAATTGAACTCTAGTATCAATTGGGTGTAGGAATAGAAACCCGTAGGAACGCCACACATTCAGTAGATACAAGACAAAAGAAACAGGACTGCTTTCTGCGTAGCAGGATAAAATATGAAAAGCAATGCGCCATATGGCATAAGCAGACGTAAAAACCCATTCATGAACGGGTCCACGGCGCATTTGTCAATGAAATCGAGAATACATTAATGGAATAGAAAAAAACATGAACGACGAGTGCTGCTTAAGAAGAGCCTCCGCCACGAGGCTGGGGGCCACCGCCGCCTCTCTGTCTCTTTCCACCGCTTCCACCCTCAGTGGTAGTGTCGGGACCCTCATCACGAGAGCGCTTGTTGCCTCCAGGAATGAACTGACGGGCCGAAGCACTCAGGTTCCCACGATTGGCGGTGGGGCTCTGAGCTTGGGCGACGTTATTTTGATTTTGGTTACCACCGCGACCTTGTCCACCACGACCGCCACGACCTCGCTGAAGCCCTGGGCCGCGCTGGTTTTGGCTCTGACCGTGACCTTGCTGCTGTTGTTGGTCATGTTGTTGATGGCCGAATTGCTGGCCACCGCCACGTCCACCACGTCCGCCTCGTGCAATGGGAAGCCCAGATTGAAGAGCCCGCATCAGACCAGGTGGGTTTCCAGCGGGGGGTTTGCTAGGGAGAGAAGAGGCCTGCTGGCTTTGATCGGTTTGCTGAACTTGGCCGAACGGATTGGCTGGCGCTGTGGGCTGTGCCTCACCTTGCTGGGGGGCAGCAGCTTCGGAAGGCACATTGGGAGCCGCAACTTGCTCCGTTGGAACATTCGGGGCTGCTACCACAGGGACAGAGGCAGGGGCGGGAGCAGGGACCGGGGCCGAGGGGGCTGTAATTGGGACTTGCGGCGCAGCTAGGATTGGAGCGGGAGCAACGGGTTGGACTGGGATTGCTGCTGGTACGGGCGGCTTAGCAGCCGGAACCGCGATCGGTGCAGGCCGGGCAGTCTTTGCGATTTCCCATACCTCCACAACAGGCTTTTGGGGAGTTTCCGTGGCAGCCTTTGATACCACATCAATCTTGGCATTCGCAGTTCGGAATCTGGTGTCAAGCATGCTGAGACGGGCAGCTGTCTTCTTTTCGACCAGTTCGACCGCTGAGTTGACCTTCTCCTTGAGTTCTGTTTCATGGGCCTTGACTAAGGCTTCCCTTTCCTCAGCCGACTTCTGTTGTAGTCCAGCCAATGCGGCCTCGTTGGCACCGGAGGAGGCTTGGGCTTCTTGTTGCAATTTTTGTTGCTCGCGCGCCACTCCGCCGCGAATGTTGTTTCGGACGATTGTGCGGATAGTCTCATGCTTCGCGACCAGCTCTCTTGCTTGAGCATCTGTCAACTCGGGAATAGTGAATCCGGCAAGCTCAAATGTCTTTGATGGCGTTGCAGGGGTTGCATCCGGGCCCGCACCAGGTGTTCCAGGTATGGGTTGTTCACCAGCGGACAGTTTCTCGATTTCTTGGCGATGAGCAGCCCTGACTTCGTTCAGCTTAGAGTTGTACATATCCTTGAGGCGGTCGGCGCGTTCCTTAATCTTCGCATCTTGTTCGCTGGCCTGTGTCGCCAGAAGTCCATCCTTCTCGGCAAGAGCTGCCTCGAGTCGCTGGATCTTCTGCTCAAGGGCTTGTATCTTTTGAGCGTCACCAGGACCAGGGATTTCAACGGTCGCGGTTGGGAATTGTGAAGCTGGGGTAGCGTTGATGGGTGCTTCTTCTTCTGGAGCTGCGACTGCAGCTGCAACAGGAGCAGGTGACACATTGGCTGGCGACTCTGCCACCTTTGTCTTCAGTGCCTCCAATTCGCTCTTTGTAGTCTGAAGCTCTGCTTGGATGACCTCTTTCTCCTGCAAGACTACATTGAGCTCATCTTGCTTGGCCTTGACACGCGCGCTAAGGTCCTTAGAGCGTGCCTTGAATTGCTCTGTGAGCTTGGATCGCAAATCTTGCGCGCGTTCATCCGAATGCTGCTTGAGCTGTTCTGGGAATTCGGCGATTTGAGCCTGAAGTGACTCCACCTGGGTTTGGAGAGCTTCCCGCTCGGACACGGCTTCGGTTTTTTCGGTCTCGAGGCTCGCGAGCTTCTCCTTCAGTTCTTGCATTTCAGTAGGATCAACACGGTCGTACTTTTGGAGGATGTTCTGAATACGCTGTTGGTATCGGTCGCGATCGGCCTGTAGAAGCTGCATTTCTCCATCCTTGGCTTCAATCTGGCTCTCCAACTCGTGGATCCTGGTCTTGAGGGGTTCGATCTCCTGGACCAGCTCATTCTCGCGGGCAATCTTTTGATCACGCACGGCTTCGGTTTGTTTCAGTTGGTTTCTCAGAGTGGCGTTGCTTTCACGGAAAACGTTGAGCTCGTTGATAGTGTCCAACAGCTTGCTGTGATTCAGAGCGTTGTGATCGCTGTCGGCTGCAGCACGGCGCTGCTGCTCAAGCTTGAGGCGGGTCTCATCGAGCTGCGACTGAGTGTAGTCGAGTTGCTGGTTGAGTCTCTTGCTTTCCTGGGTCGAAAGGTGGTATTGCACCTCGACAATTTCTTTCTCGCGGCGCAAGAACTTGATAACCTCCTGGAGGCCCTCGAGATTGGGTGCCGCCTGTTCTCCCTCTTGCTCATCGTCTGAAACATTGATTCGGTCCCGCTGCAAGGACGAAATCTGGCTGGTGATATTTTCGAGCTGGGTGTGAAGGACAGAGTTCTGGTTAAGAACCTCCTCCCGACGCTTCTGCAGTTCAGACAGCTCACGCTCGTACGTGGCTCGTTGCTCCGCCCAGCTCTCCTCCTTCTGAGACAGATCCCCTTTGTAACCTTCTGATTGGGTTCGCAGCTCAGCGATGTCGAGTCTGAGTTGATTGCTCTCTGCACGAACGACTTGTAGATTCTTCGCTGCCTCGGCGTGCTTAACAAGCTCGGTCTCATAGTTCTGTTGCGCATGCTTGGCGATTTCGGCCTGTGCATTCAGGTCCTCCTGATGGTATTGTGCAGCAGTGACATGTCGTTCATTGTCGGCCTTGAGACGAGTAATTTCCGACTCGAAGTTGGCCTTCTGCTCTTCCAAGCGGCGCGTTGCCTCCGCTTGCTCTTCGCGGAGCTTAGTCATTTCAGCGTTGGAGGCGGACAGCTCAGCTGAGATCTCTTCAATGCGAGTTTCGAGGTCATGAATCTTAGCGTTCTTCTCCTCCACAAGACGATCGGTCTCTTCGCGGTATTGCTCCTGAGTCTCGGTGGCGGACTCCAGACGTTCTTCACTAGCTTGGCTGATGGCCTGGTAATCCTCAGCCAATTGCTTGGCGTGTTCAAGTTCACCCTTGGCTAATTCTAGATCCCGTTTCAGCTCGGAAACTTCAATTGAAAGTTCCTGCTCGCGAGAAAGACCGCTTCCTTCACCAGACTCATCACCCTCTGTAGGTCCCTCGGCGGTACCAGCAGACACGCTTGGTCTCGAGTTCAAGACCTGCAGACGCTCTTCGGCACTCTTCAGCTCAACTGCAAGCTCATCCACACGGGACTGTAGGTGATCCCGGGTGGTCTTGGCGGCAACTAGCTCTTCGCGGACGGCACCCAAGCTGGTTACCAAGTCGTCAATTCGTTTTTGTGATGTCTCCTGCTCATACTCACGGCGCATGCTAGCCTTCTTGGATTCCTCCACTTCATCATTGAGCTTGCGCTTTGTCGACTGCAGTTCAGTTTCGAGCGACTCGACGCTGGCTTGGAGTCGGCGTCGGCTCTCGGAGTCGGTGTGTTCACGCTCGTTGAGAATGGTTTGAAGGTTTGCGTTCAATGAGTCCAGACGACTGCGCTCATTCCGCAAGTTCTCGGTGTCATCGATGAGCCTCTTCTCAATATTCTTCCAAAGATCCTTCTCGGCTTTCAGGTTGGCATTTTCTCTCTGAAGGCTCTCAACAAGACCCTTAGCCTCCACGAGGTCTTCCGCAGCTTGCTGGGTGCGCAGATCCTGTCGGTTTGCATTTTCGAAGAGAGCAGAATAGCGCTTTTGGATCTCCGTATTCTCATTCTTGAGCATATTGAAGTTACTCTGCAAAAGCTCTGCACGTTGAGAAGCAGCAGCAAGCTGGCTACTTGACCGACTGATGTCAGACATGAGCTCACTGTTCTTGCGCGACAGTTCATTGACCTGCTGTCGCAGTGCTTTGTGGTCTGTCGTCGTTTCTTCACGGAAAGTATCGAAATGGGCTTGGACCTTTCGGAGCAAATCAGCGTAGTCGGGTCCTGATGTTTCCATGGCTCCCTGAGGAGCAGCACCGAGAGGCATGGATTGTGAGAAGACAGACTGGTCTTCGATGGTTGGCTTTCTGTGCATGAGCATACTGCGGAATGTGTCGCGCTCCTTGACGTAACTCTGCATCTGTGCGCTGAGGTTCGCAATCTCATCACGGTTTGTCTGCGCACGGATTCGCAATTCCTTCAATTCATCGATTTCTGCCCGTCGCGTAGCTTCCTTGGCTTGGGCCTCTTCGCCCTCCTGCTTGTCACCAAGTTCTCTCAACATACGCCGTAGGGTGTGGTTCTGATCCTGGAGTTCGTGAAGATCCTTGAAAGTTGTGAGGTGCTTGCTGATAAAGCGGCCAGTTTCATTGAGATCCTTTGCCGATTCTTCGACTTCACCCCGAGCGATCTTCTCGAGCTCCTCGCGGTCGTATTCTTCGCCGTGTTTTGCAACAGCAACCTCCAGGACAAGAACCTTGACTTCCGCACTTAGATCGCGAAGTTGCTGGCGTAGAATATCGCCCTCGCGAGCCAAACCCTCAACTTGACCTTGCCATTTCCTGGCTTCCTTTAGGGCGGCATCACGTTCCTTCCCTGCCGCCTCGAGGAGAGTAGACATCTCCACAACCGCGTGGTCGAGACGGGATTGTTCTGCTCGTCCCTCCTCGATTTCGGGTCTGGTTGAATCAAGTTCAAGAACCATCTCGTCGACAGTATTGCGGAGTTCCTGGCAGGTTCTCTGCTCAGCTGCAAGAGCGGTGCGCATCCTGTCGTACTCGGAGTACATCTGGGTGACGTTCATTCCACCCTTACCACGAGATGCGCGGGGGGAGAACGAGCCAGTAGGAGTACCAGCACGCATGATGCTGGATCGTAGAGGAGTACTAGGTGTACCTCCATTAAGAGAGACAGCAGGGCTTGCTGATCTTCCCCTGGAGGGTTCAGACTCAAGTTGGGCAACAAGTGCCTCGAGCTCGCCAATTCGGCGCTCCGCGGCTCCCTTATCGTTGGACTCCGTCTCAAGCTCCACGCGGAGGCGCGAGATTTCCTGCGCTGCGTCATCCTTTGTCTTCTCGAGAGCAAGTTGGCATTCTTGCACCCGTTGCTTGGCCGTTTGAGCAGCAGATCCTTGTAGCTCAGCCAATCGGTTGGAGCTGTCAAGTTCGATGCGGAAGGATTCGGTTGCCTGGATAGCTTCCTCTTTCAACTGATGAATGCTAGCCAGACAGGTTTCGTATCGCTGCTCTGTTTCGTCCAGACGACTCTTGAGCGAGTTCTCACTTCGGCGAAGAGAGTCAATTGTCGAGTTTGCTTCTTCATTCTCTCGCTGAAGCTCCGAGATCCGAGCACCTTTTTCTTTGCGGAACTTGATGTATTCAGCGGATTTTGTCTTGAGTTCGGTCTCGAACCATTCGTTGTTCTTTTTGGTGAGATCTAATTCTTGTTGCAGGCTCTGTTCGCGGAAGCGGGCGCTGGCAGATGCCGCATTGGCACTTTGGAGACTCTGCTCCGCGGTGGAGAGTTCACGTCGTAATTCGATGGTCTTCTTGTGCTGAAGTGAAAGCTCCTCGGCCAATTTATCATAGGCTGCAGATTTCGATTCAAGCAAGCCCAGTGTGTCTCTGTTGGATGCCTCCAGAGATGAGATACGCGCTTTCAAAGATGTGGTTTCGGATTCGTTAGACGTGGATGAGGATTTCAGGGTAGAGATCTCTGTCTCGAGTGAGGAGCGGGTAGTTTCTATTCAATGTTAGAGAAGAGCTCATGAGTAACAGACAAGACACAGATATATACCAGCTTCGTGCAGTTTTTTCCTCAGATCTGCGACTTCCGCGTGTCCCTTCTCCACGCTGGCTTTCAGAACCTTGACCTTCGACTCATTGCTGCGCACGGAATTCTCAAGCTCTACCTCCAAACGAAGCTTGTCGGACTTGAGCTCATCGGATTCATGAGCCTTTTTATTGATTGATTCTAAAAGTTGATTGACAAGCTCCACAGTTGGGGCCTGCCTTAAGGTCGTGAGCGTCGATTCGGGGAGCGCATAGTGAGATGATAGGTAGGGCAGTTGAACGGTAGTTTCCGCCATTTTTTCGAGCGAGCAACAGCACGCAACTGTCGTGGTGGATAAATCAAGAGAAGCAAGTATGAGCGGCGCGAGTTAGAGCTGGGTCCTCGAGGACGGGCGCGCCGTGTACCGTTCACAGACAAGTACACACAGCGCTAGTCGAGGGACCTCAGGTCATGACGGTGTGAACAAAAGAAATATGTGTCTTCCAAGGGGGAGAAGACAAAGAACTGAATGAAACGGTAATTGAAAGAAGTGGTGGTGAGGTGACTTCAAGGGTGTTCGAGATCCATTTCCGCGCTTTGGGTTGCTGAGCTTCGGCACGTGACATTCTTTGAGCAACCGCCAGCTCGTACTATCAGCTGGTAAAAAAGCCAATGAGGGCTAAGTGTTGCCGACAACATGTCCACATGGACATTGACCCCTCATTTAGCTACATAGTTGACCTTTTACCCAGAATCCATCTTCTTACCTATCGCGCCTTCACATACTAACATAGCTACCCTTTATGTTACCATCACGTGACCATGTCCCTCTTAGATAGCTTTCCCTTTGTTGTAGATACATCCATGGATACATGTAGTCAATGCATTATCTCTAGCCCCCTGCAGCTTGTACTATCAGCTGGTAAAAAAAGCTAATAAGGGCCGAGTGCGGCCGACTGCGTGGTTACGTGGACGTTGACCCCTTGTAGCTACCTAGGTAGTTGAGCTTTGAGCTAGAATCTATCTTCTTGCCTATCGCGCCTTCGCGTCTAACAGAGAGAGGCCGTCGTCTGGCTTGGAAGAAATTTGGTTGCCTAGTAGAGAAGATTAAGTCCGTCTGCGTTTTGACGTTTTGACGTGGACGTGGGCAGAGTTAGGGCTCTTCGACAATGGGAGGTTGCGCTGGGGTGTTAGGGGCTTGGTTGCTCCCCAAGCTCGTTTGTGTTATTAGGCTGATATCCTGGGGCATGCGCGGGCTCCTGCACTTCCAAAATCTAAAGTTATTTTGTAAATTGAGCCTTTTTCCGCCTTTTTCCGGCGTCTATCTATAAAGCTGAGATAAACTGCAAAATATCTATAAAACAAAGATATTTGAAAAATCATTTAAAAAGACATTTAAAAAGACATGCAAAAAGACATGCAAAAAGACATGCAAAAAGACATGCAAAAAGACATGCAAAAAGACATGCAAAAAGACATGCAAAAAGACATGCAAAAAGACATGCAAAAAGACATGCAAAAAGACATGCAAAAAGACATGCAAAAAGACATGCAAAAAGACATGCAAAAAGACATGCAAAAAGACATGCAAAAAGACATGCAAAAAGACATGCAAAAAGACATGCAAAAAGACATGCAAAAAGACATGCAAAAAGACATGCAAAAAGACATGCAAAAAGACATGCAAAAAGACATGCAAAAAGACATGCAAAAAGACATGCAAAAAGACATGCAAAAAGACATGCAAAAAGACATGCAAAAAGACATGCAAAAAGACATGCAAAAAGACATGCAAAAAGACATGCAAAAAGACATGCAAAAAGACATGCAAAAAGACATGCAAAAAGACATGCAAAAAGACATGCAAAAAGACATGCAAAAAGACATGCAAAAAGACATGCAAAAAGACATGCAAAAAGACGTTTAAAAACATATCACAAGGCCGCAAACGCGGCCTAGTATTATACATAGTACTAACTGTAGAGTGAGGGTGGATCTACCTAGGTAGGTATAATACTGCTGGGCAATATTTTCCAATGAGAGGGCTATGCCCCGGTGGCATACTTAGCCGCAGACAAAAACATCTCCAAATCTGTTTCACCATCTTCTCTCAGTCCATGACACCCCGGCCCTTGCTTGATGTTATCCCATTCTCGCATAAAATCCTCAACAACCTGTCCCATTCCAGATGCATGGAGGATCTTTGCCATAATGAAATGGCAATGGAACAAATCAGGGTTTGGGAGGGCCAGTTCACCTTCGCAGGAGTTTTGGAAGGTAATACGGAATGGAAGACTGCGCTTTAGACATGTGTCTAAGCGGAATGTATGAACGATGTACTCGTTGGACTGTCCTCAATAGTAAATATTTGTTAGTGAAAGATAATAATATATTCTCTTTGATCACTCACTGTCGCTTCCAGAGCTATACGGAAGTCCCTCAAGTGTCGGCGGACATCTGCTCGGAGTGTTATTCCATTTGCTGGATTGTTGATTGTGTTGTCGTGGATGACGTTTCGCAGAACGGGAAAACTTTCATAAAGTATCGTCCAAGCTTGTGCACTCCTTTCCTGTGTGACCTAGGATATATAAGTACATGTAAATATCTGTATTAGAGAATATTTACTGGGGACTTGCAGCTGGCATATGCATATGCATATGGGATGATATATGCACCTTCAGTAAGTGCAATCTTAAAATAAGAGTAAAATGAAAGTAAAATGAGGGTAGACTAAGAGTAGACTAAGAGTTAAGTGATAGTGAAATAAAAAAATTCAACATAGGTCCTATATCTCGGTATAGCGAGTATAAGGGGTTTCCTCTGAGTTTAGACTTTTCCCAGAAATCGACATTCATATCACCTGAGATGACGCAAGGACAATCGTCGCGCTTTAAAAGGCGTATATGAGATTCGTTTGATTGGTTTTGAGACCGAGTAAGTATACTTGCTACAGCACTCACGTGTGTCGAGGGGCTTTGTTCAGATAGGATTAAACTAAATCTTAATGAGGTTCTCACTACCAGAGATATTAAGTAGTATACCGTTAAGTTAAACAAGTTCATAGTCTACTTACTTGGTGCTGCAAGAAAACAGCATACAACCCAGAAATGATCCCATAGGGCTCGGTCCGATTTAGCTTTGAGAATGGATCGTGGATAGGAGTCACACCCTCCCCAGAGAAGCCAGTCAAGTAATGCATGTAGTGAATTCTTCAGAATATCTTCACGTGGTCTGGCTTTGTCACCTGTGATAACATATTCTTCAATAGGGACTTTAGCTTCGACCTTGAGACTCTCCCATGCACTGTCTTCTTCAAGATCGGTGCTTAATGGTGATAAGCCGGTGGTGCGGTGTGGAATCGTAGAAGCTTCGAATGTGCTGTTGGAGCCAGGTCGTTCATGGGTCATGAACTTGGATGGATAGCAGGAGTTAGATGGCGATCGTTTGCGATTAGGACCCATTATTGATGTGGAGTGGGGAAGTTGTTGTAGTGGAGTGGGGAGTTCTTGGGAATGGACGAATCAGCAGCTTCTGTCATGTGACCGGTCCACGTGACCGAGCCTCTTATATGCTTTCCCTAGGTAGTCAATGCACTATGTTTGTCTGGCCTTCAATCTTTTAATAGCCTCTCTCTTCGAAACTCAACTGCCTGGCTAGGTTTTCCTCGCTCTCTACACCACCATTTTTGTGTGTATTGTCTTCTTTTCTTTCAGGCAACATTCGCGGTACCTATGCCAAGCCCCGTTTGAATCCTCCAGCTCGACCTAGGTCAAACTAAGTGGTTGCCATCTCAGCTCCGTTCCATTCGTCTCTTGAGTCTCAGCGATCTCCTTTCCTTCGTCACAACCATGTCGTACCTTCAAAACCAGCTCAAAAGCTTCAACGCCAGTGTCGTCGAGTCGGCGAACCGCATGCCCACGCAGCGACGTGTGGTCAGTAACCAACCAGTCTCTGCCAGCAGTTCCCAAGTCCCATCGTCCGCACCGACCCCGTCATCGTCTACCGAGATCAAAAAGAAGCGCCATGACCCGGATATTGTCTACTCCCAGCCGGCCAACACGGGCACGGGCAAAGATATTATGACGCAAGTGCTGTTCGCGATCGAGCACATGAAGAACAAGAACATTCCGCTTAAGTTCTCGGATATCATCTCATACCTCTCACTCCAGCATCGCGCTCATGACCAGGGCTATGTGCAGGCTCTTCGGAGCATTCTGCAGATGCACGAGAAGGTTGAATTTGATCCGAGTGGCGCGAACGGCGAGGGCACATTCAGGTTCCGCCCACCTCACAACATTCGAAACTCGGAGCAACTCTTGAAATACCTCCAGGCCCAGAAGACTGCGGCGGGTATGAGTGTTCGCGAACTCAGGGAGGGCTGGCCCACCGTCGAAGAGGAGATCAACCAAATGGAGAAGGAGGGAAAACTGCTCGTGACTCGAAACAAGAAGGATGACCATCCCAAGATGGTGTGGCCAAACGATCCGTCCCTAATTGAACACTTCGACGACGAGTTCAAGCAAATTTGGGATAAGATCAAAGTTCCGGATGCGAATGTAGTGAATGAAGAATTGGACAAGTTCGGTATCACACCCACCAACAAGAACAAAGTGCTCGGTCCCCGGGTCATCGCGCCGTCTAAGAAGTCCAAGAAGCCACGCCGAAGCGGAAAGACCACCAACACTCATATGACGAGCATTCTCCGAGACTACTCGCATCTTAAACGGTAAGTGGATTGTTCAAGGATCTCGCAACGGTCTCACTTTGCGCGTTGCCACACCGGAACTTGCTTTGATACAATCATTGCTTTGCATTGCTTTGGCGTTTTAGGGAAAATGCATGTGGCCTCATTGTCGCCGCATGGAAACTCGTTCATTGATTTTTACATTTGCTTCGACAGCATTGACATTTGTACACCACACGCAGAAAATGATAGATACCCAAATAAACAAATTAATCAATTTCCATACAACCCTAGCTATACACCAAAGGTTCCTTCGTGTATGCATGTAGCCATATCTCTACGCTCATATCCCCACCCACTGAAGCCACAAGTCTATTCATATTTGCATAAATTCATCTAAAAAAAGGTATCCAAGAGAAGGCGTAGTGATGTACAAGGTACCCCAAAGCACACGACCCAACAAAAGCGATCTGAATATCAAAACCCAACCACCAAGATCAAATACAAGTCCATCGCTCAATGCTTCCCATTGGCAGCAGCACCAGTACCCTCAACACGATCCAAATAAATCACCAAATCCTCAATAGTGCACACCTTAATACCCCACTTCTTTCCAAATCGCAAACATCCGTCCCGACGCATCATACCATTATTCCCTCCAATCTCCGCAACGCCCTCAGCAATCTCCCCATCCTCAACAAGCTCGGCAATAACACCAGCCGGTGCCTTGCCAGCAAGCTTACAGAAATCGACCGCAGCCTCGGTGTGGCCTGTTCGCTCGCGCACGCCACCGGGACGCGCCTGCAGTGGGATGATGTGGCCTGGTCGGCGGAAAGAGTCGATCTGCGCGGTGGGTGAGGCAAGAGTGCGGCATGTCAGTGCGCGGTCCTCGGCGGATATTCCTGTCGTCACGGAGTCGTCGCTGGAGTCGATTGTGACTGTGTAGGCCGTGCACTTCGGGTCGGCGTTCTCGGTTACCATTTGCGGGAGCGCGAGGCGGGTGGCGAGGTCCGGGGTGATCGGGGCGCATATTAAACCACTGTGTTTTGGAGCTGTTAGCAAAGTTTTCTGGGATTGGATTTGGGTTGGCGCATATGTCCTTGTGGGTGTGCCATTGAGGGGAGGGAGAAAGGAGGGGTTGCGGCTTTGGTAGTCGTTCCTCGTCGCTGTCTTGGGTAGTGCTCTTACCTCGTATAGCGCACCAGGAAGGCCATCTGGGCGGCTGTAATTGACTCGGCGGCGATAATTAGGTCGCCTTCGTTTTCGCGGTCTTGCGAGTCGAGGACAATGATGAATTCGCCATTCTCTGTAGACATTCGTCAGTTGTTTGGTCGGGTCTGAAGGCGCCGCGAGCAGCTGGATGCTCGTGGTGGTAAAGTCGATTCATTGTGTGGGAATATCACATACTAAAAGCTGCAATTGTGTCCTCAATTGAGTCGAATTGGTGTGCGATTTCTGTGGGTGAAGGCATTTTGGTTTCGCTTTTGCCCCTCACTGCGGTACTTCAAGGATGAGTGGTTTAAAGTGGACGGGAGTAGAAGAGATTTGAGTGAGAAGAATATGGAAAATTGACCAGAAAGAATATTCGAATTGTTGAATTGTTCTAGAACCAAAAAACAAGAAGAATATTAGAAATTTGAGTCACTGGCTGACAAGAACATTAGAAATGCTCGTGATATCGGCGTGGGGGAGCCGAAATCCCCGCGGGCGGACCCGGCGATTGCTAAGCCGCGGAAGACAAGGTTCAAAGAGGCAACTCTGGCCCTCCAAGTCTCCGAGGTCTGGGAATTTTGTTAGGTCCGAGTTGCTTTCCAAATGGTGGCATATTCTATAGATCACTACGCAGATATAGGTATATACTCATGTTCCCGACACTCCGACCCAGTAGAACTGGGTATCCAGATGCAATTGATGTGAAGAAACTATATCAGCCAAGCCCTCGATTCCCCATCCAGCGGACCTCATCCGCCTGTCTCTCAAGCGCACGGCGCATATAATCTCCATACCGTTGCTCTTTCTCCCAATCATCACGCCGTCTATGTCGCATCTCTTCACGCGTAGCTTCATCGACCTCCGCATGCATAAACACATCGTCATCTTCATCAACTTCTTTACCATCGACCTCCATCTCATGATCCGCAGGAATGGAAAACTTGAGACGCCCAATGCGCTCTCCAGTCCAGATAAGTAGCTCATCCCCAGTAAGATTCCCACCAGTGGGGAGAACCTTACGAGCTACCTCGTTATTGCCCTGCGATTGGGAAGGCCAGAGCCCACGCGGCTGCTGATCTTCTTCTGTCTGCGGGGTTGGCTGTTGGGTGCGACGACCGAATTTGATCTGAGGCTGGGATGTATTGATATTCCACCGTCGAACTTCTGAACGACCGTTCCGCTCGGTCCACTTGATGTTCCCCTCGGCGTCGGAAAAGACGATGCGATTTCCGTGTGACCCCACGGAAAGTAATTTGGAACTCGCGGCGCTTTGGCGGTTCTTGTATTCTGGGTTGAGGGTGGATGTCATATTTGAGGGGCTGTGGTCTTCGTTGAGTGCTGGTTTGAGATCATAGAGTTCCAGCGAGCCTCGTCCGTTGTAGTCTCCGCATGCCACGACGGAATGTGATTCGGGGTAGATGGAGTCCGAGAAGACCGGGAATCGAGGTGCTGGTACTGAGGCAAGACCACATAGTCGACCGCCAGAATGGACTGTAGTCTGTAGCCGAGGGAAGTAGCGGCGATCATAGCATAGGATGCTGGGGAAACGCCCTGCAAGGAGAATTGTATTCACATGAGGAGCTGGCGGGTGCAAGATGGAAAGAGGGCCAGGTTGGAAAAGCGGCGCGTAGTTGGCTCCTGTATCTGAGGGTCCTGGACTGCGTATACGAGTAGGTGGCTGTCCATTGGATTGGAGTTGGAACAAGGGTGAATCAGAGTGGGCAAAGATGCCCAGTTCTGGGGCCTGTTTGCTGGCTACCTGCTCGCATCGCGAGCTGATTGCCTCTTCTTCCTCGACGGCCGACAGCCTGGAGTCATAGATCTGCAGACTGAGCGTAGTGGCTAGTGTTAACGGCACTGAGTAATCGGTCTCCTGGGAAAGAGCGAAAATGGACCAGGGATAGCGCTGTTGCGAAATCACTTTTAATGTCTCCAGGTCCACTTCATTCAGGACATTCCCAACTGCCAGATAGGCTCTTTTTCGCAGAGAATCAACGCTCACTCCCTCGCCCAGATTTATAAATTCCAATGAAGTCTTGGAGGGGGAATGATCGCGACGCCCAGACAGGTTGGTCATGAGAATGCCGGGCTCACTGACACCAAGGATCTTGCCTTTACTTGCTTGGGAGTCAGCTGAGTGGGAGTGATTCAGATCCCAGATGCAGACGCTACCATCTTCAAGCGGAGCAATGATCTTGTTCTGCCTGGCTGAACTCCAGTCTTTTAGCAGCCCCATGCCTTTGACCTCATAGGGCTGCCCTCGTTTTCCTTCACCCTTGCGGACTGAGGGCTGCTCGACCCATGATAAAGATATGGGCCCGTGTCGAGCAATATATTCCGAATACCAGTCAACGTGCTCGCCCTCAGCCGATGAATCCCAGTCCGCTGACGCTCTCGCCCTCTCACTCCAAGACAATTCCCTGGTATCATCAGAGCCTCCGTTCGCTGGCGGGGCAGAAGGCTGGATGATATCGAGCAACGACTCCTGCCCTAGGGTCGCCAATGAAACTGTCGCGTCGGAAATCACACTCTCCGAGGATCGGGCAGCGGATCGGGCAGCCTGTCGAGCAGCCCATGACTCCTCATAGCAGTGCAATCTCCATTGATTATTATCACGGGCGATAGCAAAGAACTTTTTTGAAATTGATTGAATTTGGACCTTTTCTCGAGGAGCGAGTTCTGGTTATCGGGCTATCAGTTCTCGGTCGAAACGGTGCGGGGAAGGTCCGGGGCTTACGGTCGATGATTTTAGACAGAATCTCTACTGGCAGCTTATCCATGGAGAGGGATCAACACCATTGAGGGCAGTCTGAAGAGGGGAAATCAGCCACGAGGATGTCAGCCTCTTAAACAAAATTCTAGACTCTTTTTTTTGTCGGCTTTTCCCCGCGATCTGCGCTGCAGACCGTCACGTGGATTCAATTGGCCTGGGATAAAGAATCGGGCTAGATTTCAAATTGATTGAGGGCACATGTAAGTAACAAAATGGTGTTTTATTCATTTGGTGATGGGTTTGTGACGTTTGGAGGGGCACTACTGAGACACTGAGACAACTTCAGCGAACAGGCCCGGGAGGCTTTTCCGGTATGGGATCCACCGGTTTTTATAGAATCACCGGAGAGAAGTAGAGAAGATTCTGATATATTCCACGGCACAGCCACCACTGAGTACGGGAAGTGAACTAAAAATACGTAGATGGGACTGCCCAATAGGTAATCCTGTTCGATATCACATGTTCTATGTTTCACCGGGCTACAACACTGATACGGGAAAACGGGACATCTATAGAAGCGTCTATTGCTGAGGCTATATGCATCTTGGAAATAGAAATTATCTGAACGATATGAGGGTTCTTTTTCTCATAGCCAAACTCCAGCCCAGTCCAATTTCACCCACCATCAATCAGTCATAACTCGTACATTTGAAAATAAATTGTGTAGGCAAAAGCGTAAAGAAAACAGAAAATGACAGTACACAGAGACAGGGTAGAGACACCGCTACTCGTCCGGTCTAAACACGGCATCTTTGCAGAGAATAGCCACCTTTTTAAAGAAACGTCGCCATTCAAGCGGATCGCCTTTGATTTTGACGAATTCCACTTCAAATAAACCCTCTGAGACACATTCAATGAGCACTTTACCCTGGAGCGGACACATCCTGCCATCTTTGGCAACCACCCGAATCATGGCGGACGTATCTCCAGCACTAACAGCAGGGACACTCGGAACTGGAACCCCCAGTCGGTGAAAAGCCTCACAGATGAGAGGTACGAGGAGCTTCAGCTCCCATGCAGAATAGAAACGCGTCATTGAACGCGAGGGGATAATGTCCTGGAACTTTTGTGCATTTTGGGTTCGGCTCACAGGCACCGAAGGCTGTTGTGAGAACTGTGACATGGAAGGCTCGTCCTCGAGATGACCTGCTATCGCTGCATCCTGAGAGGCAAACTTCTTCCCAAAGGGCTGGGTTGAAGAAAAGACATCAGCATTCTGTGGACTGTCCCAATCCATCAACATGCCACCACCCAACATCTCTGGCTGCGTCGAGGAGAATCCTGCATTTGCACCCCCTTCATCACCATCCATGTCCATGGGGTCAAAGCTGCGACTCGACCCCTTCCCTGATTGGGAAAGAGGATCTTGGCTGAAGTCGATATGAAGCGACTCAAACATCGAGGTAGCCAGATTGATGTGATCTCTCAACTTGCCATCGGCGGAGAGGTATTTGTTCGTACGAGTATACCAAGGGTGCCTTCGAACATCCTCTAGCGAGAATCGCTTTTGGGGGTCCACTGTCAACATGCCACGCAATAGTGATAAGGTAGCGGCAGGTAACTTCTGCCAGAGTTCATCGGTGGTCCGCGCCTTCGTCGCAACATATTCGTGGTACTCGAAGCTATCATCTGTCGGGCTATCCCACGGCGTATTTCCGGCCAATAGGACGAACAGCACGATGCCACAAGACCAAATGTCAACTAGGTCCGGATGGTACCCAACTCCTTTGTTCTGCCCTCGGGTACTACTGCTAATTACCTCGGGTGCAATATATGGGGGACTGCCACAGAATGTGGTGGAGAGTTTCCGCGTTCCCTTGTATTCAAACAGCGCCGCCAAACCAAAATCCGCGATTTTGAGATTCCCGTCGCCGGTCAAAAGCATGTTCTCCGGCTTGATATCACGATGACCGACGCCCTTGGAGTGCATAAAGCTCACAGCACTGACAAGCTGTGAGAAATAGACATGGGCAATATCCTCGCCGACACCCTCGTCGGCCTCGATCTTATCGAAAAGATCCCCGCCTTCGGCTAACTCCATTGCGATCCAACGCCACACCTCGTCCTCGCCTGTCTGATAGAAGCTGATGATATTCCCATGGCCTGAGACATGTCTGTGTACCGTAACTTCCAGCTGTAATTGTCTTGCGCTAATCTTCCCATGTCGCGCGGCGTAATCTTTGTGGATGTACTTGACGGCGAAGACGGGGTTATCTGTATCTAATGGGCAGGCTTTTTTGATGCTAGATGGACCAAACCGAGTCAGATTTGGATGATCTATTCCGTGGATGTTGTTCTTACCATGCATAGGCACCTTGGCCGATAGTCTTAGACACAATGCGAAATGGCACGTCGTTCGGGAGCGGGGCCAGCTGCGAATGCTGCATTTCGAGAAATCTCACAAGGAGTCTAGTGAAGGTGCTTGGATGTAACGGTGAGACACACGAAGAGACAGAAAAAAAAATTAAGATTATAAAGGCATAAGGAGTGGGAAACAAGATAGGTAGAGATGTCGCGTCGAAGCAAGGGTAGCGAAACGCGGGACAAGACGCGGACCACTTTATCCTGATCGGGTAGTCTGTTGACAAAGGCACAATACAAAGGAGAGGGTGATGAAGGGAATAGCTTCACTCTATCTCATAAGGATAGTTCCTACTCTATACTAGATATGCAACTATAGTACGCTTTATTATCGTACTAAATTGTATGCTATTAATACCTTGAAAGTGCAGACCCGCAGTTGATTTATTGACGATCGCACTAACTTTACCAGATCGACTATTTAGTTATGTTTTAGATCGATTATATTTCGTGTTATATTCAGTTCGCTATGAGTTCAATTATATATCTTCCAGTATAAATATACTTAAGTGGAATGCATCTTCTTTCAAGACTGTAGTGTCCCAAGTGAACTCACCTAAGCGGGGTTCGCGTTGCCCGGGGCGTCTAAGGGCCGAGTAAACAAATCCTCTATTTTTCCTCTTCCTCTTTGTTCACTTCACACAATAATAACCCCCTCCATTCACACAATTTATCCCTCCTTTCTAAATCTTCGTTGCATTAAGTCACCCCGTGGATCATTGTTACGGATCCGGCGTCATTCCAAACCCTCGTGCTACTGTTGCCAGCATTCCACAACCCGGAATCCACAGACTTCTTATTTCTTAAGAATCTCGATTGCCTCACCTCCCGATCCACAATGGACTACAGCATGGAAGACACGCAGAACTCGGCGCCCGAGGCGCAGCAAGCTAGCAAGCTGAACTCCTCCGGTCAAAAGAGCGACACCCAGAGCGTGACCAAACGGTTCGTCCCCCTCAGCACCTACCAACAGCTTCACAATTCAGTTTGCTCTTTCCAATTACACATAGCTAACCTGATCTCTTTCATCCGTACAGCCTGCAAGCCGAGCTTATGCAACTCATGCTCTCTCCCTCGCCCGGCATCTCCGCCTTCCCAGACGCAGACGGCAACCTCCTCTCGTGGACAGCGACCATCACCGGTCCGACCGAGACTCCCTACGAGGGCCTCACCCTGAAACTCTCCTTCGCATTCCCCAACAACTACCCCTACTCTCCTCCAACAGTCCTATTCAAGACTCCCATCTACCACCCCAACGTCGACTTCTCCGGCCGCATCTGCCTCGACATCCTCAAGGACAAGTGGAGTGCTGTATACAATGTGTCGAGTGTTTTGCTCAGCTTGCAAAGCTTGCTGGGCGAGCCTAACAAGTAAGCATACCTTCACACCATCCATACCTTCCATCAGTGCTAACATTGATCCAGTGCGAGCCCCTTGAATGCCCAAGCAGCCGAGCTTTGGGACTCGGACCAGGCGGAGTTCAAGCGCCACGTCCTCGCCCGGCACCAAGACCTGGACGAAGAATAGACAGTTGGATTTGATATATTTTTTTTCATTCTGCATCGGCGTCGGTTGGCCCTGTCGTCCACTTCATGGGCGGTAGGATCGTGCTGCAAATGCATAACGGGCCTGGTATGGGCCTGGGAGTTTCTGGTTTGCTTGGTTATGTCTTTTTCTATCTTTGTTCCTATTGTTATTATGTTAGTAGTACCTCTAAGCCTCCCATTCAGGCACAGGCGTGAGAAACTCTTGTCCCTAAGATCCTCGGGCGGTTCCCTCTCTTTTCTTTTCTTCTGGTCATTGCTCCTAGGGCGGCAGATCTATCCATCGTCGGTGTCGTTGTAGATTAATTTGACCTTTCACGCTTAGCGTCATTGTATGGGACAGTCTTCGCGTGTCTGATATCCTCCGCAGAAGTATAGAAGACTTTTTTGTCTAGACTTCGGCAAGGCAAGTTCCGCAGGGGTATAAATGTAGGAGAGTCCTACATCATATCGAGGACAGAGGCAGCCACTTATGCATGCAGCCGTCTATTCTTGTACGACCATGCCCCAGTACTCACTGTTTAAGAGTGAAGAAATACCTGGTTATACATATATCTAAAAAGGACAGCTAAACAGACATCCAAAAAAACGAATAAGCAGTCGACTATCCTTGTAAAAAATAAATAAAATTAGAATTGATTCTGCCAGATATATTATTTCGAAGCCGACGCTATCAAGATTGGACTCCACAAAGAGATACTCAAGTAACCCTCTGAAATCAAAGAACCACCGCCCATATTAGGATTCAAGTACATTATAGTACCTAAGTAGAAGTACCGAAGTACTGCTTCTCATTGGTAATCAACAAGCCAGCAATAGTTGCACTGGTGAAAGTACTGATGGCTCCAGTAACCATAGCACTGAATGCAACACGCGAGACATCGTTAGACCGACCAGGCGCGATCTGCGACAGGACACCGATCTGGTTACCGAGGGAGCCGATATTGGCGAATCCACAGAGCGCGTATGTAACGATGAGGCGAGAGCGGTCGGAGAGGTCCTTGTACTCGGCGTTGTTTTGGAGGGCTTCATAGGCGACAAATTCATTCTGTGGCTGGTTAGAAGAGCAAATAGTTGTGTGAAGATGGAGAACTTACGGTAACGAGCTTGGTACCAATCAGCTTGCCAACCTTAAGCAGGTCACCGTCACGGGAGACACCGAGCAGGAAGGCAATTGGGTAACAGATGTATCCGACGATCAGCTCGAGGGTCAGTGGGGGGTCGTTGATGCTGAGGTATCGGCCCCACCAGGTGAGGAGACCGTTGATTAGACCGATGAGAGCGATGATGCACAGGAGTGTGGATGCGATCATAGCAGCAATCTTCAGACCGAGCCAGGTGCCGCTGGTGAATGCGTGGAGGGCATTGGCGGAGCGGTGCTCATCATCATCGGGGACGACGACACGGCCTGCAGTGAGGGTTTCTTCCTCCTCAGGCCAACGTAACTTCGAGACCGCTAGCGAGGCGGGAATACTCATGACACAGGCGCTGACCATTGCCTGTGGGTTGACACCGATACTGATATAGGCGATCAGGACACTTCCGGCGATGGTGGCGAAGCCAGAGCACATGACTTGGTGCAGCTCGGCCATAGTAAGGTGGGCGATGAAGGGACGGATCAGCATGGCTGATTCACCCTGGCCGATGAAGGGTGATGCGGCAGCGACGACCGCCTCGGCACCGGAAACGCGCATGCTCCAGAAGAAGAAGACGGCGAACTTTCCGATGAACCACTGCAGGATATTGTAGTAGTACAAGAGCTGGACGAAGGAGACGAAGAAGATGATGGCGGAGATAACGCTGACAATGAAGAAAGAGCCTGGTGAAAAGCCGTCGTGGAAGTTGTAGAAGTCTTCGCTGGTCAAGAAGATGACTCCGTCGGCAGCAAAACCAAGCAGATCAGTGGCCAGGCCTGAGATGAAGTTGAAGATGTCGTAGCCTGCAGTGGTGCGGAGCACAAACAGAGCAATAATGAATTGTGCCAGCATGCCGACAATGACAGTGTGCCAGATGATCTTCTTGCGGTTTCGAGATGTGAGCCATAATCCGAAGATGAAGACTACCATTCCGAACAGACTGACTGCACGGTTGGCACGGGTGTTATCCTGTGATTCTTCGGACACAAACGAGCCGATAAGAATAACACCGATGCATAGCGCAGCGGCACTGGGGACTCTGATCTTCTCGGGAATCATGCGCACGAAAGGGTGAGCAGTACGTTCCCAGACCCATTGCATGGGCCTCGATATGATAGTGATGGGGACATAGAAGAAGATAATTCGCAAAGTGATGGCAAGATAGAGCAGGAATGGGATGAGCCATCCTCTATCATGTCGATGTAGTATCAGGCCAGCAATCCACCAGCTAGGTAGAAGAAGAGTATGTGTAAGCCTGGAGTTGAGTCCAAAGTACACAGTACCATTGTGATCGTAGTAGAAAAAAAGTAGTTCATAGTTCACTCACCCGGTAAACAGAAGCCAGACCACAGCATGGGCTATATGTCTCCATTGTTTTCCCACGCGACGATACCACGTGCGCTGGGCTGGGAAATTTTCGCCGGCTTCCTCGTCCTTGGAATTTTTGCTGCCATGGTCCAGAGGTGATTGTTCCGGCACAATTCCTTTCTCGAATTGGGCATCCTTAGAATATACCACTTCATCCTGACGTCCCTCTTCGGCGAAAGCGGTATGGTGTTGATGAGAATGGTGATGCTGATTCTCTGGCTCCAGCACAGGATCTACATGATGCACAACCTGTGATCCCACAGGATTGGCTTCCTGAGTCTTATCCATCACGATTCCACTGCGATGGCAGACTTGAACGTTGGGAACGAAAAGTACAGGCGCCCGTGACAAAAATTTTACAATTAAGAGTGAACCCCAAAAATCCCGTGAAATTCAGACCGCCTGAGGTTTGTTTCACCTGCGAGGAAACTTGGACTTTTATAATAACCACGGACACAGGATTAATTAGGAATGTCCCATGGGTCTTTTTTTCGTGCCTCGAATCCTGTTGGTTGGTTTATTTATTTTATTGCATACATATTAAATTTTCTGGGGGATGGGAGATAAAGAACGCCCACTAAGGATTGGCACAAGACACAAACCATCGGACCTTCTTCCTTTCTCATCCTGTTTGGTTGCAAGAATACCAATGAACGGACTGACCGACGGTGTACAGCGGAGATCCCGTCTCGCCTAGAGCCCAGCTAGAGCCACTTGAAGCCACATGTAACCACATTCACGGCAAAGCTGATAAGACAAGGTAGCATTTGTCTTGCCACAATAACCCCTGCCGTTTCTACTGATTGGTCGCGTAGATCAGACTAACTTTGCCCGAGTGAAAAGTCTCTCCGCACCGGGTAGTTGTGGAGCCATATGGGTCGCCTATGGGTCGTGTGCTTAATTTCCCGAGGTCTTTCCGCTGAGCTGACACTAAGGATTTTAGAGATTTCTCTAGTTTCTCCGGGGTCGTGATAGCCGAGCGCTTGAGCAAGGCATTGGAGGCTGAACGTGTAAAAAATCATATCATGTAGAGCATAGTATACAGCATGTGTGACCTGCATTGTGTGTTGTTCTCGAGCCCCACCGATGTCTGAATTTGCCTCAAGGTGTTGGTTTAGCGTGAAAAAAAAAACTGGAGACCTGTGCGAAAAACGATAAGAGTAAAGGTCCGAGATACACACGTGTGGTCCTCAGAGATAATCTTCCATTTGTAAGAGATAGGCGCTTCGCAAGACACAGCTTGGCGTTCTTGGCGACAGAAAAAATTGTGATCTGGAATAGATTCCAAGAACTCCCAAGGTTTTGATATATTAGGCCATGCTGTGATAGTCATCTCGTCGCTCGTGACCTCGGAAGCCCTCCGAGTTTTACTGGAGCCCTGAGTGTGCAGATAGTTACGTAATGACTGGCCCGCTTGAGGACCCACCTGGGCACCGCGCTAAGGATGCCATACCATGGAATGAGTTTGCACATCCACGGGTGGTCAGTTGCTGGCATAACCAGGTACAACTCGACAGACCACCCACATACATGCACAGCGTCCATGGGTCATGAGTGAGACCTTAGAATGATGAGAAGAGTAGGAGGTATCTCTGGAGACCAAGCTATCTAAGCCACCTGGTCTAATCCCCGCAGTTGAGCCATAGGCACTACCTACCTAGGTACAACACTTTATGCTCTTAAGGCTTTAAGGTTTGTCGGAACCTGAAACGTTGAACAGCTTAAATCTAGCTACTCCGTAGTCACCCGAAAATTAATTCTAGAAAAGGCCCACTGATGATGTATACAGAGGAATGAATGGAGATTGTCACCCACAGGGGACGGGTCTTTTTAGATGGTCTTTTTAGATGTATAAAAAGGCGGTAAAAAGCATAACCCATGTAGAGGACTTTTCTATGTATAATCAGGCATAGTTTCTGGCTAAACCGAGGAGGTTACTACAGAAAATGGAAGAATATTTGGCAATATAATCAAAGCTCGGAATTTGCCGACATCTCCCAATTCGCTTCGCCAATTGGCCTTGAAAAAATCTACTAGAAAAGGCATACGGAAAAAAAAGCAGACTTTGAATAAGCATCTAGGTCTTACAAGCAGCCTAGCTGTGGGTAGGAGGGAGATATCTGGAGCAGAAAAGCAAACAGAGAGAGGTCAGATAACCACACCAAGCACCATCACAGATCAGACCCACGAAAACAAGCTAACCACCGCGCCACATGCCAGATTTTTCTCCATGAGAACAAGAGAAAACACAATAAAAGGCATTCAGGCGTCAGATAAAAATCAAGCAAAGATGAAGACAAAATGAAAGTCAAACAAACATGAAAAGGAAAGAAAGACAAAAGTCAACCATCACCAGCAAGCACACAGAGCGTGACAAGCGATTCTTCAGTCCTCACCAAATGGGATCTCAAGAGACACCATGGTATTATCAGGACTTTGAGAGCATCTGGTTCAATCTCACGGCCTCGATAAAATCGTGGTAGACCTGATCTATCCAATCGGGGTCTTCTTCATTGATCCTGAGGTTCAAAATAAACCAACGACACCGAAGGTTGCCGAGGACTGCCCTCTTGAAGTGGCAAAGCTCTTGCATGGGTGCCATGTTGCCAACAAAAGCAGTGTAGTCCCCAAGGGCGTTCTTAAACCGGATCATAAAGGTCTCAGGATCTCCTTTTTTATAGCGGAGGTTGACAAATTTCTTAAACCGGTGGTAGATAGCAATGTGCGATGGGCTCCAATACACGTTTTTCAGTTCAAGATAGGCCTCACGAACATTGGTAACATGAGAGACCGCAGAGAAAGCCTCAGGCCCGAGCGTAGATACAAACTGTAGGAAATCCCTGTTGTTAGCCCTTTCCCACTTCTCTTCGCCATCAGCGTGGTTCTTTCGCAGCTCTGAATTGAAAGTGACAATCTGGATGGAGCGAGTTTCGATGGCGGCTTCCGTAATGAGGGCTTTCTTCTCTTTGTCACCCTCAGCTTCTTTGAAAAGTAGGGCTTTGACGCTGTCATGAGAGGGATCTTCGTAAACAGGAGCGGGAGGCATCTTGATCTCATCCCTAATCAACTGCACATAGACACGGTTGTTGGTGCCAAGCACCATGAACATCATTACCTCCCAGTCCCTCCAGTTGGACGGGCCCTTCAGCTTGGGAACCGACTTAGCCATGTCTATCTCATTCTCGCTGACTTCGAAGTCGAAAATCGAGTTTTCTTCGGAAGTTGTCGGCATGGTGGCGGCTGGGACAGGCTAGTCGAGTGCACAGAGTTGACAAAATGGGGTCGTGACAGGATGTGAAATGCCTGTGTCTTCGGTGCAAATTCCTCTTCTTGCAGAGAATTGCGCGGTTGTGTGGCCGTGGTGAAGGGAAACAAGTTTGGCGTGAAAAGACGTGCCAGAAGGTTGAGGATTTTGGTAACTATCAAACCCGTCAGCGGATCTCAGATATGTGCACTGGTGGGCATGACTGACAGGGTGACGGCGCCGAGGATCGATGACCTCACAGCTTGATGCTTCGCCGCAAGACAAGCTTTGAAGACAGTATGCGTGGTCAAAAGAAGTAAACCATGGGCAGCAAGCTCAAAATCAGGAAAAATACAGCAGAAACGACAGAGCAAGAAAGATCAGTCTCTGTTTAGATGCCTAAAGGAAGAAGACTAAGAAAGCAAGCTTAGAATTCCTAGGGATATCTGAAGTAGGGAAACAAACAGACGTGGCAGATAGCTATGTAATTTCAACACTCTGATTAAGTACGCGTTTGATTTTAACGGGAACTGGACATATTGATTCGTTTGGATAGTGAATATTTCTCTATGTTGCACTTTCTAGGAGTTCCTACATGGTAAAGTATCATTTTATTGAAATCCTCAGCCCTAGAGGCAACTGTAGATGACAATTTGTGGTCAGTAACATTATATATTATTTGGTAGACACACTAGGGCATACCATGGCAAATAAACAAAGTTTATTAATTGCAGTACTTGATGAACTTGTTGATAGTGCCACCACTGACACACGCACCGTTACAGCAGTCCTTGGCGGAAATGCAGGGGCTGTGAGCTAGTATCACATGTATAGTTAGCCTCATCATTCTAACACTCTGAAGAGGTCTAGCAGATTTATCATAATCATGATAAAAACATACCTCCTTTGCAGCGCTTTTCAAGAGGGTTGATGTCCAAAGCAGCTTCAGGGTTGGGCATAGCAGCAGCATTGGCCAAAGCAGCAAGAGCAGCAACAAGGATGACGTTGAAGAACTTCATGGTGATCGTGGTTGTGATTATCAATCTTTCAAACCGGTTGAAGAAGAAGAGATGGTAATTGAGATGTTCTTCGAGGAAACGAGGTTCTATTTATATCTTTTGATCTGATAATCTTTTGGCCCCCAAGCAGCAGGCCATACATCCGAGATCGGCTCCTTCTGTGGTCTCAATGGGTTTGTTCGAGTTATCTGATCTTACGCCAAGCTTATGGCCCCCATTACTCTCCTTCACTCCATTGCAGGCCACCAATAGCATCAAGTTACTGGAATCCTTTAATTTACGAAGCCTCGCTCGATTGGTTCCAAATCCTATACAACTAAGCTAAGCATGTTACTCGGCAAAGAGTATCAGCTATTGGCGGAGCATCATTCCAGAATGAGACATTGCTGTGGCCGCTCGGATTGTTGGCAAATTGGCCGAGGCTTCGTAAGGAACCGTACGGGGACGATTCAATATATACAACAATGTTGTCAGCTTGCTTTCCTTTGACTTTCTCAAAATATTTATGTATAGATACCTAATATCTTATTTCCTCCCATGCAGGGTATTTTGGAGAGTTGAAATGTCCACGTCCCGATGTGCCCCATATGCAATTGTTATATATATTGCATTAAAAGTCCGAAACCAAAACTACAAGAACAGTCAGCCACTTATGCAGCCTGGTGATGTCTTTTTGATTGGTCATTTTTGGTTATCTTTTTAGATATATGTGAAAGCGGTACAAAAAACCATACTTTGTGCAAGAGACTTTTCTATATATAACCTTTGATGATAAAGTTCGCTGGGCCATCCACCCGCCATCGGCTCTGCGGGTCACTCTATTAGGCTCCAAAAGTCCCTTAGAACACCATGCCCTTGACCTGAGCAACCTTCTTCAAGTTGATGTTCTTGATCATGATAGTCCACACGAACGCTAGAACCATCACACCCAAGCCAGCAGAAAGCATCCTAACTTGTGTGTAGCCGTACGCTTTCTGGATGGCCTCTCTCATTTTAGTACCGGGAGCGTAGCTCAACTGTGTCTCGAGATCTTCATAAATCATGTCCAGGTTTGTCAAGTCTGGTAGATACCTCGTGAGAGCCTTCTTGTATGTGTTGTTCCAGATTGACATGGAGATGGTTAGACCTGCGGAATCTCCGATGGTACCGACCACATTGAGCAAGGCAAGGGCCGTAGCGACATGCTGGTGATCAACGGCGGCGAGAATAGCTAGCTGTTGGACGATGATGAAAATCGATCCGCCAATAGAAATGAAGATTTGACACATAACCTGGTAACCGACACTCTGGCCGGGACGACGGAAGTAGATCATCAAACCCTGGGCAAAGATATATAAAGGAACCGAAATGTAAAGGAGCCACTTGAAGCGACCGGTCTTTCGGATTGCCCATCCAACAAAGAACAAAAGTATACCAGAAACCACATCGAATGTGTTAGTAATATACCCAGCTTCAGCAATAGTGAGATCATTAACCACTTGAAGGAAGTTCGAGAAGTAGTTGTTCCAGCAATAGTTTGAAAGCTGGTACGTGGCATCCAAGAGACATGCACCCACGACGGTTCGGTTGGTGAGGAAGGAGTAGGGGAGCAAAGGCGTAGGAGCGATGTACCTCTCGTAGAAAGCGAAGAAGAAGAGCATCGAGAATCCGATCACAATCATAGCAATGATGTAATCGGTTCCCCAGCCGTTGGGAGCCTCGCTGGCAATGTCAAATGGAAGCTCAAATAGAACAAGTCCCGCAGTAAAAATGAATACTCCGATTACTATACGAGATATTAGTTTTCTATAGAAGAATCAAATGACATTGGCAGTTTGGAATACTCACAATCGAACTCGAGAGTCCAAAACCAGACGCTTTGAAGGAACGATCGTCCACTATTCTCTCTAACAACCACGGCATTTCCCTTTCTGGCTTTTGACAGATTGAACTTCAGGACGAAGAACAACGGAGCAGCCACAATAGGGAAGATGATTGCGAAAGTGCCATAGGCCCATCGCCACCCAGTATTGGCGTAGAATAGATCCGCCACCTTTGGTCCAGCAAACGCTGTAATGATGTATGGAGAAGACGTGAAAGCGTATGCAAGAGCTCGGTTTTTCAGCTGCGAGAGATCGGCGGTTATAACGTCCACGGCAAATTGCATGCCTCCAAAGCCAATGTAATAAAACACCTAGAGTCCCTGTTAGAAACTGCTCAATATTTCATGGAAATTCTCTTACGTTTGCGGCGCAATAGACAGGGAAACTATTACAAGAGGCCATGAGGATGAGACCCACGGTGGCGCAAATCGACATTACTAGGAACCCCTCGGCTCGACCCCAAGTGTCCATCATCTTCGCTACTGGAAGGAAGACGGCAGCAGAAAAGGCATCTGCAATAGCGGTAGGAAGACCAGATAAGGAGTGCTGTTGGAAAGAGCTAGCCACATAAGTGCTTAAGCTACCATCAACTGCTGATATCCAGGCATAAGTGAAGTAAAGGAACCACATACTATAGAAGTATAAGATAAGCGATAGTACAGAGGAGGGGGATGAATTGGCTTACTTGATGAAAACGAAAATCAAGGACACCTTCGACCAGGTCTGAGCCACAGCCTCAACTTCCTGGATACCATGTTGAAGATCTTCAAAGGGCACACCAGGTAGCTCGGCACCATTGTTTGGAAGTGCATCTTTGGGATGAGTGATTGTGCCATCTGACTTCTCTGCATCTACTATGTTGTCCACATCGACCGAAGAACTTGCAGCCTCGTCTTTGTCGACTTTCATTCTATGAAAGACCGCCCGGGCCCTTTGCATCAGGGGACGAAGCGTCATGTCAATGGATGAAACACAAAATTCCAAGAACTCAAGTAGGTTGAAACTGCTAAGAATATTTTGACCCCATGAGGGAAAGGCAAGTAAAATATAACACAGATGTGGAATTCCTACATAAAACACCGAAGTCGGCAATTGACTACGGAGTAACAGTGTTTTGAACGCTCATATGTGGGTCAAAGTGACAATCCTTTCCCTCTTATATGAAAAGTGTTACAACATACGCGGTATGAATATAATGTTGTCGAAACATATTCGCCCAGGCCGTGGACCCTGACTCCACTGGGGCTAGAGACAACCCGGCGTCGGCCGGTGGCAAGATCTAATCAGATCGCCAGTGGCTGAGAGATCTTTACCGCATCTAGTTACCTTCGTTAAACCCCCATCGGGTCCATTCGCTTCCAACGTCAGGTCAAGCTTCGTGTGGTTACTTGGAAATTTATTATGGGACCTTGGCATTATGAGCCAACAATGTTCTCTCCAGAAACCGGAAAACGCGTATCGAAAAAATATCCTGAAAAGTTATCATATTTGCCAAGCTTCCGGATGTGATTAATTTTTATTATCAACCTTGAATTCCTGGGCGATGAACGCTTGAAATTGCTTTGTACCCCCTTCCCTACATGAAATAAACGCGTATCTCATCATAGCCGTTTGATCCGGCCCCAGGTCAATGTAATATATCCGTATGATTGGAGCCAGCTTGGGGAGATAATTCAGCCATTTGGCTATCGAGTCAATTATATCCCTGATTATACATAGAAAAGTCTCTTGCACAGAGTATGCTTTTGTTCCACCTTGGTATATATCTAAAGAGACATTTAAAAGGACTGGCTAAAAAGACCGGCTAAAAGACATCACAAGGCCGCATACGCGCCCACTATTCTTATATCTTGAAGATACATATGCGAACATACACTTTGTACAAATCTCACCGAATGAGAAACTCAACACAAGCCTCATGGGGTAACTTAGGCGCTGGTATCTCGGGATCCTCCCTTGACCCCCTTGGTTGGCTCCACCTTGAACTCTTTTTGAAATTGCGGGTATTTGGTCTATCGAGTTTGTAAAAGTAACATATAAATGAGCTTCATTGAATGGCAGGAAGGTTTGCTATCCATGTCGTTATGTGGACCCCATCCTGCATGGCCTGCAGACAGGAAAATGCTAGTGACAAAATTGTAAGCCGTGACAGGCAGTATATCTATCACACCAGTGGCATATAGAGAAAAGAGTTCACACCTTTTGGCAAAAAAATCCTTCTGCGGGAAGAGATCTGTCTTCGCGTTCTCAATGGTTGCTTTGCGCTCATCTCCATTCAAGCAATCCACAAGTTTTTTAAATCAGAGAGGAAGGTTGGGCTTCTCTCCGTGAGCCTTTCCAAATGCGGTTTCTCTCTGATAAACTCGACCATGTCATCTAGGAAACGAGTATCTGAAATTCATTCTGAGAAGATATCCTTGTAAAGGGGTTGCTTCTCATCATCAATAGGTGTAATGGCATAGATTGTTTCCAATTTGACATTTGCTTTATACAACTCTTTTTGACCCCATGAGTTCTCACAGCACCACGACATCTCTTGTAATAGGTATATGCAGGTAAGCATGAATTCGGGTGCTCTTTTTGTGCGAATGGTGATCTGTGATAAAGAAATGACTGCAAGACCAATCATAGGAACCGTAATTGAAAGTATAGTTACTATTCTCCAAAGAAGCTTTTAAACGGCTATTGGAAACTCAAAATTTCACGCAATAAGGTGAAGACACCCAAATGCCGTTGACATGATGGCTAAGGTTGGAATTGCCATATGCGTTGCATTCGTTGGTTCCGAGGGAATATTGTCGTTGGCTATACGCTTAACGGACTGATTGTCTCGACGACCACGGGTATTGGTGATAATTTCCCAGAAATGATGATAAAAAAATTTCAGAAAAAGGAAGGTCGATTGTTGAGGTTGCAAGAGAACAAGGCATATCGAAGTGGCGACATTATTAGAGAAGTGGGTAGCGAAAGAGAATGCAGCTAGAGATTCGAAGAGCATGAAGCAGGACATGTCATCTTTTTCTACGACTTCAGCTTGACAGCACTTTATATATTCCCGTGACCCTTCTGCTGTGATTTAATGTATCTATGGATTCATGTTGCTTTCTCGCTTCAGGCAATGCTTCCAGTAAGCCTTTTTCTTTTCTTCCCTTTTTTGTACAAAATACCGAATCATCTTCGTCTGCATTTGAAATCTAAAGGCGTTTCTAATCTGCGCCAATCAAAAGAAAGTAGAGAAATCTCAACCAGAAGACGAAAACGGATAAGGCGGGGGAGCGTATCTTTCCCCTCCCGAAAATCCGATCCACTTTAAGCCTCGACTTTACCTTTTTGAATCACCTCAAATCATGGCAAATCCAGAGAATGAATGGGAGTTGGAGGAGGGTATCCCTCAGGTTGAGGACCCCTTTATCCAACAATATCTAAAAGGACGCGATGCTTTAATTATGGAAGAGAAAAAGCGACGTCACGGTATATTTCACACTCAAATCAAGTGTCAAAAACCATGTCTAACATTTTTTGGCAGATGCAAATCTGCGCAAATCTCTATCACCTATCGCCGCCCGGGCGACGAAGATTGTGTCGCAGATCCGAGCTCAGGAACAGAACGAGCTGTGGTCAAGTGGATTGGAGGAGGACCTGGCCCACCAGACAGATGAGATCCTCTATCCTGGTGTCATGTTCAATCTGGCTAAAGGCCGCATGGAAACGACTAAACTATGGAAAATCGTGGAAAAGATGCCAAAGGGGTCCCTCCTGCATGCCCACATGGACGCCATGTTCGACATTGACTTCCTAATTGATCAGGCATTTTCCACGCCTGGCATACACATGTTAGCACTGAAGCCGTTGATCACAGCCAAGGATTATGAAGAAGCGCCCGTGCTTTTCCAGTATTCCTCGCAGCCTCTAGAAGTATCCGAGGACAAGCCAAGTATGTGGTCGGAGGCATACGAGGCTTCGTCATTGATCTCGATTCAGAAAGCCGCCGCCTCTTTCCCTAATGGGGGAGAGAAGGGCTTCCGCGAATGGTTGAACAATCGATGTGTCCTTGTGCCGGAGCATTCATATCACCACCACCATGGAGTAGACGCGATTTGGTCTATCTTCACAAAAACTTTCCCTATTGTCGACTCTCTCTTGATGTATGAGCCCATCTTCCGTGCCTGTTTGTTCCGGTTGCTCGGACAGCTTGCCGAGGATGGAATTCGATACGTGGAGTTCCGTATTGCGTTTGTCTTCCAGTTTCGGAAAGAAGGAAACGACAAACCCGAAGAAGGCTACTTTGAGTGGTGTCGCGTGGTGGAAGATGTTGTGGCTCAGTTCAAAGAAACGGATGAAGGGAAAGACTTCTACGATCCTCGCATTATCTGGACTACGCTCCGGTGGTTTGGCAATGAGGCGATTGTCAATAGCATGAAGGAGTGCATCGAAACAAAGCAGGAGTTCCCCGATCTGATCAGTGGGTTTGATCTTGTTGGCCAAGAGGATAACGGTAGGCCGCTAGTCGACATTGTCCCGGTGCTATTTTGGTTCCGAAAGAAATGTGCGGAAGAAGGTGTTGATATTCCCTTCTTTTTCCATGCTGGAGAATGTCTCGGTGATGGCGATGCGACAGACCACAATCTATTCGATGCCATCCTTCTTGGCACTCGACGAATCGGCCATGGGTTCTCACTTTACAAGCATCCCCTACTCATTGATTTGGTCAAAGAGAAGAAGATCCTTGTTGAATGCTGCCCGATCTCGAACGAAGTGCTCCGCCTTGCTAGCTCCATCAAAGCCCATCCTTTGCCCGCGCTATTGTCCAGAGGTGTCCCCGTTTCGCTGTGCAACGACGACCCCGCAATTCTTGGCCACGGAAGGAATGGATTGACGCATGATTTCTGGCAGGCTTTGCAGGGGCTCGAAAATGTGGATTTGGTCGGCCTATCGATGATGGCTCAGAACTCCATCCGGTGGAGCTGCTATGAAGATGAGTCGACCGCCGAGTGGAAAGCTGGCATTCAAAATGGGGTAATGGGGAAGGGACTGAAGTCTAAACGTCTGCGAGATTTCGCTGCGGATTTCGAGAAATTCTGCGAGTGGATCGTGCTGGAGTTCGCTGAATTCGATGCTGGGGATGATTGAAGTTCGATCATGTTGATCACGATATACGAGTCAAATATAGAGCAGGAACAAATATAAGACCACGAAAGCCGTTTTCTTTGGTAGTAGTCCAACTGGTGCACTTTGTATGCCAAAATTTGCAATTGTTGAAGTAATTTGAAACCTATCACAAGTCCATGAGAAGATAATTGGTCAAATCTGTTGTCAATCGGTGAGTTGGCACGTCGGCGCCTGACTCGGGTCACTTATCGCGCCTTTATCAGGTGCCCGGAACGTCATTGTTGAACATTCCCCCCTTCACGACCTCCCCCCCATCCACTCCGCTTTGTCGGAGCTGGCTGCTTTATTGTTTTCGTTAAGCTATTTTCGATGATACGAGTCCGCACATGAACGAGCCCTGTCCTGGCTTCTAGTCACGATGGCGTCGTATTTCATGCCATCGTTCTTCCAGAAGCGGCTCCTTAAATACGCCCTATCTCGCTTGGGCCTGGTCGACACAGAGGCCTTGGATCCAGATAACCTAGGCATCCGCTGGGGACAACGGTCTACCATCGAGTTGAAGGATATTGGCCTCAAATTAGAGGTGAGTGGGCGCGGTGACCCTCCGCGGGCGGCGGGGCGGCCTTTCGTTATCATCAAACGCAAGCCATGGAGCAGTGCGGGCTGACTATTTACATCGCGGACTAGAAATTATCGACTCTACTCAATCTTCCTCCTTCGTGTGAGCTGCTCAGCGCCCGAGTTCAGCTTCTTCGAATCACTCTTCCTGCCGATTTCCACAATAGCGGCATCCTGTGCGAGGCAAACGGCATCGATGTACATATTCGGTTGTTATCAGAGGATTCAAAAGCGGGACAGCACACCAAAAATAAGGGCGAAAAAGATGACTATTCGGCGGTGCCCACACCGTCTGGTCTTGCGGAGTCATTCCTTGAGTCTGAGCCCAAGGAGGAAAGGGAAGAGCTGCAAGCCGCAATATCGTCACAGTCGCAGGTCCTGCCCCACGACCCGTTAGCCTGGTCCACAGATGACGATAACGAGCTCGGTCTTGGGAGTGAGACTTTATCACTGCCGAGCTTTGTGGCCGGGTTCTTGAAAGGTGTTGTGGATCGACTCCAACTCAAGATAAAAGATGTAGTTGTACGAGTGGACATGGAGTTGAAGCAAGATGGAACATCAAAACGGCAGCCGGAACATAAGCCGGACCTTGTCGCAGGTCTATTGAGCGTCGGGGAAATCGATGTACACGGAGTATCTGAGAAAACCGCTGGCCTGGGGGAGGGCCTCCCTTTCCGAGAAGGCAAGCGGCTCATCTCAATTGCCGATATCAATGTTGGTTTAGGTTCGGACCCATCGGTGTTCTCAAACTACTCTAGGTTTGCTGCCCCTGCATCTCCATCAACAACTATGCGGTCAAAAGGAAGTCAGCCGTCAAGCAGAGCGCCATCACCCTCTCCATTGGATCGCTCTGAGGAAGAACCCCTTGCGATGACCCAATCAACTATTTTCGAGCCGCCGCGAGCTTTTGGCTATTCAAGTACCACTACAGACAATTTGGAGGCCTCTGCATTTTCCCATGGCCGATTCTCAGACGCCGATTCTGAGTCAGGTAGTCACAGGGGTGGATATCTGGAGGATTCTCAAATATTCGGAGATGACCCTTTCCAAGACAACCCAGGTTACCTAGACTCGGTTATTGACACCCAATTCGATGATTTTGATGATGAGCAGTCACCGGTAATACATCCCCAAGAAGACCGACAGACCGGGAGTGAATGGAGAAGCCACTTGTCTCGTGGCCCACAAAGTTTGTATCAGAGCCAACAGCTCGAATACACTGACGAGCCCTTGATCCCCTCTGACAGCTATCATATGTCCCGAACTTACGGCACGCATCATAGCCAAATTGGCTCTCAAATTGACGAAATCCCGCCACCCACGCAGCATTACAATGATTACAACGAAACTGAACATAAAGAAATATCACAATTGAGCGTGTCATCCTATCATTCTAATACATCTCCTCCACGCTCAGAGCCTGATAGTACGGGCTCAAGAGAAGAGACCCAAAATGCCGATCTCAACGAGTCCAAGCTTTTCTCCCACGATGAAGCGCAAAGCCTTTACATGAGTGCTATCAGCCAGGATCCGAGTGAGAGCTTCATGCCACAAATGCCAGGTGCATGGGGCTCGTTTGGTGGTGACTCCTCAACCTCCCGGACTGCCTTTGATGACCGATCTGAAAACATCGCACCTATTGAGCTGGCACACTCCACCCAAGTTGAAGATGAACCGAATTCAAGATACACAGCCCCATCAGAAGACAACATCACTGAACAACATGATTTGGACGACCAAGCCCAATCTCAAACATTGCACAAGGACAGACCCTCAACCCCGTCATCTCCTGGGTTGCACAGAATCAATGAAATGAAAAAGTCGGTGTTGACTGTGGACAAGATTTTGCTATGGCTCTCGCCTCCTGATTCCGAAGAAGTATCAGCTGAACCGTCACCTGTGTCACAAAAGGAGAACGCAGACAGTGATCTGAATGAATCCACGGCTAGCTTTGGGGACTCTGCACCAGAAGAAAGTCTACTTGCTTCTAGAGTTTACAAATCTACAAGGTTTGGAAGAGACTTTGTAGAGGCACGGGCTCAGTCAAGTGCTGGGACTGAATTACCTGAAATTGCCGTTGAAGTGTTCTCTGTCTCTGTACATTTCGATATTGCAACTGGTTGGCTTCTAACCAAGATAGGACAAAAGTTGTCTCACACTCTTGGTACGGCTGAAACAGATCCGTCTGAGAAGCAGCCGCGAAAGGACCTGCCCGCGCGCACACCACCTGTTCATCTTGTCATCCACACACTTTCAATAAAATTCATCGAACGTGTTTCGGGGCATGTATATTCGTCCGATAATAGTGGTTCGCCTTTGTCTCCCCCCTACAGCATGGAAGATGTGATTCTTCGCCTTACTCTGTCTGGTCTGGATGCTCGCCTTTCAGCCCAAAGTACAACTACGAAGCTGAATCTTGGCGTGTCCAAGTTTGCATTCGGATTCGCCTCAGAGGATATCGTATTCTTTGATGAAAGGTTGAAGATGCGTGAATCCACGCGTGATGTTTTATCCCCTTCCCAGGGAGATATTTCTATCTCTTTGGTCAAATCTGCTGATCTGGCCAAGGTTGACATCTCCACACTACCTCTCCACATCAATCTCAACATACAGCGCCTGGAAGAGGTCCTAGGCTGGATGGGTGGACTGAGCACCATTCTCGAACTTGGAAGTTCCATGTCGTCGGTGTCAACGGTCAAAGGCGGCCCGCCACCTTCCAAACAGCGCCCCCGTGGTGTGCATTTCGAGACACCCGCCCCAGCTATTGCCACAACCAAGGGCACGTCAACCCTATGGAAAGTCAATGCCCGGCTTGGTGCCATCCTGTTGGATGTTACTGGAGAAACCCATTGTCTTCAACTTACCACGACCGCCGTCAAAATCGTCAGCAGGTTTGAAGGGATTGGTATTCAAATAGACAAGGCCAAATTAATTGGACCATTTTCGATTGATGACGCTTCATCTGAGACTCCCGCCAAAATCACACTGAACAACATCCGCCTTGAGTTCCTTTTTGCCCCGAAAGAGGTTGATCTGGATCGTCTTTTGACATTGATTACCCCATCCCAGGACAAATTTGAGGTCGAAGATGATATCATGCTAGACACATTGTTGCGCCAGCGACGCCAAGGATCTGTTCTTCGTGTGACAGTGGGGCGCCTGGAAACGTACATTTCAGATACCAGTGGATTAGAGCCTCTCTCGTCTCTTGCTGTCGAGCTGAGTCGGCTTTCCAATGTCACCAAGTATTTGCCGGAAGATGACCGCCCTGGTATTCTTACTTTGATGCTAGTTCGTGACTTCCAAGGACACGTCCACGTTGGTGGAGAAGTCGGGGACATAGAAAGTCAACTTACCGATGTTGAAGTTGCACACATCACCATGCCTTCGCTCACTGCGGCCCAAATCGGAACCGTGACCGTCACCAGGAATAAGGACGAAGAGCTGGTGGGGCATGCCCTGTGGCCTCCGAACAAAAGTCAAGATCCAGACCAGTCCTATCCGCCGGTCCTCATGGCTCGTTTCATACCCGATGAGATGGATCCTACCTACAAGATCAAACTGCACAACCTCCTTGTTGAGTACACGGTACCATCAGTGACGGCCTTCCTTGGATTGGGTGGCGACAAGATGAGCGGAGATCTGGCCAGTAGTATGGTCAACTCTATCGCCAATCTTGCAGAGCACTCAATACCGTCACCTTCGATTCCCGGGCGATCGATGTCAAATGAATCCAGCTCCTCGACAAAGCCGGTCAAATTGGCAGTTGTGTTCAGAGATTGCGTCCTTGGCCTGAACCCTCGCAATTCTCCCGCGAAGGGTCTTGCAGTCCTCACCAATGCCAAGTTCGAAGGAAGTATTGATGGAGAGGAATCTGCGGAAGCATCGTTGGATATTAGGAAAGCCTCGCTCATGATCATTGACGATGCGTACCATGAGGGTGCTGATAATCTGCACCAACGGGGCTCGGTCGTTCCTCAAGACACCCAGGCTCAAGCGTATATTGATAGAGGCTATGTTCCTGTCTCTTCCATCTCATCGGCAACTGCCGGCGTCAAGCTTGCCAGCGCTGATGATGGGACAAAATCTTTGGACGTCGAGCTGAGAGATGATCTGTTGATCCTCGAGACTTGCGCGGATTCAACTCAGACGCTCATCAGCATCATGAATGGGCTTCAGCCTCCAACTCCACCAAACGTCAATATCAAATATCGAACAGAGGTTATGCCCATCCAAGATATGTTCGCCTCGTTCACCGGGGACGCATTTGCGGCTGATCCTCCTATCCCCAGTCATAATGATCTGGCAACTATCTCGGAAGGATCATCCAGGGAAGATCAGCTGACCGACGAACTTGAATACGTCAGCGATTTCTATCCCCTGAAGGGCGGCCCTGGTGGTGTGGGTATGGAAGGCATGGAGGCGGGCTCTAATGATATGCTGGACAGCTTCCATTCTCAGTACCAAGTATCTTCCAGTCTGACAGAACTGGACTTCCAGGAGGACCATTTTGCAAAGAAATCCGCTGTGGGTGGAACCGCTCATCGGTGGGACTCTACCCAAAACACCTACGAGTTTACCAACGACACGAAGCTCGAGCGAAGTCCTTTGCGTGTGCGTGTTCGAGACGTGCATTTTATCTGGAATCTCTTTGATGGATATGACTGGCAGCGCACCCGCGACACAATTTCCAAAGCTGTGATGGATGTGGAAACCAAGGCCACAGAACGCCGTTCCAGGGGCTCACGGTTGTCACCTTCGGCAGAAGATGAAGAGGAGTCTGTCATTGGCGATTTCCTCTTCAACTCCATTTACATCGGTATTCCAGCAAACAAGGATCCACGGGAACTCCACCGCGAGATCAATCATGACATCGATGATTTGACCAGCGAGACCGGGAGCTACGCAACTACCACTACCGTGACTGGGGCTGGAAGTCGCCAGGGCCGGCCAACCTCTAAGAGGGAGAAGAAATTGCGCTTACATCGGAGCAAACACCACAAAATGACGTTTGAGTTGAAGGGTGTCTCCGCCGATCTGATCATCTTCCCACCGGGCTCAGAAGAGACGCAGAGCTCGCTGGATGTGCGGATCAAGGATCTGGAAATATATGATCATGTTCCAACGTCCACATGGAAGAAGTTCGCAACCTACATGCACGAGGCTGGGGAAAAGGAGAGCGATACGAGCATGGTTCACCTTGAAATTCTGACTGTAAAGCCTGTGCCTGAGTTGGCTGCATCTGAGATCGTTCTCAAGGTTTGTTACCCAAGTCATCAAATACCCAGGCCAGTTTCTAACTTGACTCCTAGGCCACTGTTCTACCCCTCCGATTGCATGTCGACCAAGATGCTCTCGACTTCATGAGTCGGTTCTTCGAGTTTAGGGATGAGACCGCCGAACCGTCTGATACCCCAGGCGATGTTCCGTTCTTGCAGCGAGTAGAGATAAACGCCGTGCAGATCAAATTAGACTTCAAGCCTAAGCGGGTTGACTACGCAGGACTCCGGTCCGGCCGTACAACTGAGTTCATGAACTTCTTCGTGCTGGATGGCGCCGATATGGTGCTACGACATGTAATCATCTACGGAGTTTCCGGATTCGACCGAATGGGCCAGACTCTTAACGACATCTGGACGCCCGATGTCAAGCAGAACCAACTGCCCGGTGTGCTCGCCGGTCTCGCGCCGATCCGCTCCCTGGTCAACGTCGGCGGCGGCGTGCGCGACCTGGTTGTCGTCCCAATGCGCGAATACAGAAAGGATGGCCGAATCGTGCGCAGCATCCAAAAGGGCGCCCTAGCCTTCGCCAAGACAACTTCGAACGAGCTGGTCAAACTTGGCGCCAAACTCGCCATCGGCACACAAACCGTCCTCCAAGGTGCGGAGGACATGCTGACTAGCCCCAGCGCACCAGCCGATGACGATTCCTTTGACGAAGACGAGGCTAAGAAGATCTCACTATACGCGGACCAGCCGGTTGGGGTAGTACAGGGACTGCGTGGGGCGTTCAGCGGTCTCGAACGCGATCTACTCTTAGCTCGTGACGCGATCGTCGCGGTACCCGGGGAGGTGGTCGAGAGTGGGAGCGCCAAGGCGGCCGCAAAGGCAGTTTGGAAGCGTGCGCCCACGGTAATCCTCCGACCCGCTATCGGAGTATCCAAGGCCGTGGGACAAACTCTGCTTGGTGCGGGGAATACGCTTGACCCGAGCAATCGGCGCAAGATGGAAGATGTAAGTGGTTTCCGACAACCCCTGTATTGGTGTGTGGATGTGGCTGACGACTGTTTTAGAAGTATAAACGGTACTGAGAGTGAGACACACGAGGCCAGTGCTGGGCTTGCTTTGGGTCTACGGGTGGTTTGGCCCTTGCATACTTCGTACATACGTGCATAGTCGACGGTCATTTTTTTCATTGCTGCGTTTGTTTCGGTTTGATTTTTCTTTTTCTGAGTTCATTGTTACTTTTTTTTTTCTCTCATATTGCTTTATCAGTTTGATACCACCTCATGACCGCATTACGATGTTAAATTGCTCTTGCTTTGCCTTTCACTTCGATCTTTCAAGTCATTTTTAGTTTCAGTCTGCATGACCTAGGGAGTCGTGATTTTGAATAAAGATTAAAAGGTCGGGATCTTTATCCGCGAGATCTATTTCTACTCCACCAAGTACCAGGGGAAAATCCATGTCGATCGCAGTTGCTCTACGTAAACCGCGGTATTATCCGAGTATACTCCTTCGGGCAGTTGCCACCCATTTGGAAGAGTCTGTACTACCAGTAAAGCCCATAGTTCCGATGATCACCTGGTAGCCTGGGGCAGCGAGGCAGCAATCCGTTTAAATTGCATCATGCACCATGCATCATGCATGTGAAACACAAATCTGGGGGTTGCAGTTGTATTGCAGGGCAGATGACTTTGGGCAGATTAAATTGAGATGAGTTGGCATGCCGATCTGTGTACTCCGTACTCCGGTACCAACGTATGTATCTGCATGTGTGCCTTGTTTTTTCCAGGTACGAGGTACAAGGTGCCCGACCATGGATGAGAGTAATCTAGTTGAATCTGCTCACAGCCGACAGTCGGCAATACCTGAATCATGAACATCCATTACGCCGGGATCACATGACCCAAGGAAAAACCCCCCGGTTCCTTGCGGACTGCATCAACGGTGCATCACGATGCGAAGTACTCCGTACTCCATACATACCCAAGGTATGTACAATGTATCCACCCTATGCCTTGGAAGTAAATCCGACACGAATGACCAAGTTATGATGTTGTCAGTGGAGAAGAAGAAAAAAATTTCTTTCGAATTGCCACATTGGAATTCGAACCGGATGGCCAATCAAGGGTGTTAAAGCCGCCACTGCCCGACGGTCATTTTTGCCTTGCTCAGCCCACGTACTAAGACAGGTCGTTCTGTACGCCGACTGGTTCTGGGCTTAAAGAGGCGGTTGGTGAAGATTAGGGATTTGGGGTGGATGATTGGTTGGAGATGGAGACGGGAAGGTGGACGCTAAGAGGATTAGAGGGGACTAACAGTTAGTAGATACTAGTATTACTCCGTAGTAATAGCACTAATCACACTAAATTGGAGATGGAGGCTGAAATCATCTGCAAGTGATTTGGGTTGGGCACAATCCTATTATATTCTTTGTATTCTTTGTATTCTATTCTTATTCTTATTCTTATTCTACTCAAACAACTAATAAGATATAAGGAATACAACATACACATACGGCGTACACCTATACATATCCAAATCCCCGACTTTTCAATGACGTCGACGAGTTGATCGACGAACCATGGGTCCCAGGAACTGTTGAGGGTCTCGACCTTTTTCCCTTCTCTTCGCTTCTTTTTGTCTTTCTCATTGGATCGGTCTGCCCGGTTTCCCCCTGGTTACCAGACTGGTTCGACTGGTTCGACTGGACTGGACTGGTTGCTCATTGTTATTCCAGTGGAGAAATGGGAGAAATGGATAACGTGGATAAGGTGGATATACATACTAACATCCAGGTACATTCCGTGCCCATTTTCTCATTTTATAAAATTACTCTTCCTGCACTTCTGTACCTTGCAGTCTTGTTTATTGTGATCTATTGATATATTGCGACCGGTAAGCCTATCTCTCCCATCCCTTGCGGCGTAAATCTGACGAATCAAGTCCAGTGTGGAGAAGTGGGTTTGGATCTACTGCATTGGATATGTCGACAATCTAAAAAGTGGTCCGAGAACAAGAACAAGAACATCGAGAAGCAGGACTTCAAGAATACAAAGGCGAAATCAGTGATATTCGCAATTGCAAGGCAAAATGAACGAAAACCTCAACTACTCCGCTGCAAATGGCATATGGCATGGCGAGCTGCTGGACAGCCCTATCTGTCATAACTGCCTCCAACTTCATGACCATCATGCATGTCCTACTCCTCTTTCCAAACCCCTTTTGGTAGACTCGGCAGACGCTTTGTCCCTCCCCCCTCGATCCATCAAATCTCGTATCACGGGAGCCCTTTCTCTCCACGATTACCACAAGTTCCTCTCCAAGTCTGCAGACCGCATTAGCGACCCTGTCGATCATGCAGGAGGGAAATTGAAGCGAAAAACAGCTGCATTGCATTTGAACCGCCCATCCCCTCTCACCATCTCTTATCCTGTATCTATCTCCTCTGTCGCCTCGAGTCCTCCGCCGCTGTCTCCTTCCTACTCGCACAGCATCATCTCTCACTGGAGTGAAGAGCCTGAGATCGGGGAAGCCCAGACGGGTAAGTTTCTCCAATTGACTTTCTTGAATCAACCCTCCCGGAACCTTTATTGACATTTCAATAGTTCATTACCAAGCCACCCAAAGCCCACGACTACCCGTTGTCTCGGATCTCGGGACTCGTGCTAGACCTAACAGGAAACGAGTGGTAAGTGGACTGAGATATCACAACAAAGACCCAGCTCACTGATAATAGTCCAAGAATACTTTCCGTGAAAGGCTTCAACAAAGGGCCCAAGCTCAAGCAGAAGAAGCCGAGCGTGCCTCCAAACCTGAAACCTCAGACTCAATGCTGGCCAGTACGCAGGCCGTTGCCACCGTCTCACACGGTGGCGCCTGCTTTGAGATCTTGAATCCGCGCAAGTCGCTGGATCTAGCACGCATCGTCTCATACATTGAAGACGTTGATAATTGCTCCATGGTGTCTATGGACAATCAGCGTGACTCTACTTTCTCCATCGAGCAAGGACTGGACCGGGTGTCCTTGTCCCAATTCACCGATGCCTCATTGCCATCATTTTACTCCACCAACTCGTTGTACACATCCCTCCCAGCCGATCCCCAAACGCCCGAGGGTCAGCCGACGGACATCCCGTCATCCTCGCCACGAATCCGCGAACGATCTCTATCAGACTATTCTGTCAATGAACAAAGTTTTAATTACTGGACCAGACCTGCACAGCGCACTGAATACAACGATTTACGCATCGACACCTATGACCGCCCAAGCAGCGATAGAGAGGCCCAATCACCACGCATGGCTTCCATCACAGAAGAATCCAACCTTCCAAACCTAGACTTCTCCCGCCGACCTTCCACCCCATCGACACAAACCTTCTACTCAGAAAGTGAGATCGGCGAGCCGGGCTCACCGGTCTATGCAAACGGCGACTGGGCCCAAGTCGACGAGCGCGACAGGGGCATCTTATTCGATCTTCAAGAAGACGAAACCACACCCGGCCACCAACATGAACACAACGACTACTCCTTTACCCAAGAACACGAAGAACTACCAACACCCCGCGAAACCCCCCTGGAGACACCAAGTTGTTCACCCATGCACTCACCCATGATGTCAACCTTCGACTCCGCCTACCCCTACCCAAGCTCCATCTCCGCCTCCAAACTCCCACACTACCCCACCCCCTTCGATCCATATACCTACGACCCGGTGTACTTCGACCCGCACGTCCAGTCCGTCCTCGCAGCCGCGAACGCAGAGACGATGGGGCTACGGGGTAGTCCTGCACGCGCACTGGATGAGCTGCAGAGACAAGGGGCGCGGGCTGGCGAGACCAGTCCGCGCTTCGAGTTCCAGAGGAGGAAGAGTGATGAGAGGAAGATGGGAGCGCAGAAGAAGGGGTTGAGGAAGTTCTTTAATTGGAAGTCTGGGAATTAGATGGAATTCTGGGAACTTTGTCTGATAATTGTTACTGCTGGGATTCTGGGAATCTGCAGCTAGGTGTGTGTGTGACTTTTGGACCGGGAATTTGATCATGATTTACGTCCATTGTGATTGTCAAGAGCGTGGCGCTTGGGTGTTGGATTGGATTGGATGGACTGGCTGGATACTGGACTCGATTCTTTTCTTTTGTTTCTTTTGGGGGGGATTTTTCTACCTTGTCTTTTTTTATTACCTTTATTACATCTTTTATTTTGGGTCTGAGACTCGGTTTGTGTCTATATCAATTTACATCTGACATACGTCAACACTCGGGTTATTTTCGTTATGAGCTCATCGATTAGAATTTCGATAGCCTTCATCAGTTGTTAAATGTTAATGTGATAACAAGAATTCATAAAAACCTAATGATCACCAATCAACACAGTACTAGGAATATCTACAACCGAGGAATGTGTCAAAATCATTATAGTCGCCGATCATCGCAGCGGAATGCTTCTTTTTTTCTTTATGCGGGTATCAAAATCGAGTATATACAAACTCCAATGCATGCAGATGGAACCCACGGAATCCAACATCACCAACCATAACTTAAACCATAACCCAACAAAACCCCAACTCAATCATCATCCCTCTCAACCATCGAGGCCAAAGCCGCACTAACAAGACTCTTCCTCCTAAGCCCCTGCTCATTCCTCTTCCCAAACCCACCATAATGACTCTTCTCAACACGACTCGACAAAACCCCCGCCGAAGAACTCTTCCTCCTAGCCCTCCCCTCCGCACCACCCTCAGGCCCAAACCGACTCCGCGCAAGCGTAACCGCCCTCCTCCGCGGCGACGACCGCGGCGGCAACGAACTCGGATGACAATCGTCCTCGTCACAGAAGTCCGGTGCAGAAGATGGGTCATCTAGCAGCGAGCGCTGCATAGCCTCGACCTCCGACTCGTTGCATTGCAATCTGGAGATCTGCTCGCGCTGCATGCGGACGTCTTGGTGGTATGGATGAGGTTGTGGGTAGAAGGGGTGTCCGAGGCCGAAATCCGGTAGATCGGAGAGGAGGTCCGGGGGCATGAAAGTCGGACTTGTTGTTGAGGATGCGGAGGGTGAGGAGAGACATTCGCCGACGCCTGAGTCGTCGGAGTGGTCTGTGTCCGGGGGCGTGAGGACGTATCCTGTGCCCGGGTAGCGGCGTGAGCCGGGATTGTGTCTCCCGGTTCGGGGTTGGGTGTTGGAGTGAGTGTATCGGTTTTGGAGGTCGCCTGTTGGAGTTGCGAGGGTGTGTTCGTGTAGTTTTTGTGTTAGGGTTGAGATTGATAGTCGTTTGTGGTCTGAGTCATAGGGGAAGGGGACGGATGTCGGGGGTTGTTGGTTGCGGTGGAAGTGGGATGAGCGTGAGCGCGAGATGTTGCGGAAGCGTTGCGATTGTGGTGATGGACAGCGGGAGGAGAGTGGTGAGATTAGGTTGCTGTCGCTGTCGACCATTAGACGGTCGTCTGGGTCGAGGGCGAGACGGGCTGGTCGCGACGATGGCGAGGTGAAGGAGAAGTCTTCAAACATTTTTCTTCTGTTCTTGGTGGACTCTATGTGACTTTCGGGTGAATATAAAGTATGGGAGTATAAGATTGTTGATCTGCGTTTCCTTTTGACTTGGAATGTGGTCGGTGGTGGACGGTCTTTGAACGTTGCGATATGGGATTTCGTGTCGGGAATTGACCACCTACACTTGGAAGGTAGTGTACACGGGTGCGTATAGCGTATGGTCTTCGATTGATATAGCGCAGGGGATTATTTGCCCCTCGGGAAAAAAATTGATTGTCAACCACTGGTTGAGGTTGAGGCGAATATTCACGTGATCGGCAACCACTGTGCGGCATACAGCCACATTTCTTAGTTCGGACAGGGGGTCCTTTTCTTTTTTTTTGGTTGATTTTGATTTTTGTAACAAAAGAAAGGGTTTAGTTCAGTTTCAAATTCATTCAATGAATTCATTCGTCTCTTTTTTTCTCGTTCATATCCCTGTCTACCAAGACCCTGGTTCTTAAATGCATGTCGATCATCATGTGGATACCGTGCCCTAAGTTGATCTGCATCCTGGATCCCGGGGATTGAGAAATGCATCTATCTACAACATACCATAGTGTAGCATGTAGTGTGGTGGTAGTAATTGTCAGATATATATTCAGTATTGCATTGTTTATTTTATACTTCGGCACTAGGTCTGTCGTCCCTACTCAGAGAAACATATTTTTCCCTCAATCAGATTATGTATGACTTCCGAAGTATAAAAACACCTTATCCGCCGAAGAACGACTATCGTCATATTTTCTTTTCTACAAAAAGACTCTATGAATGGGATTAATTTGGCTAAATATGATATCAGAATCATTATAATTTAGATTACACTGCGATGTCCTTTTTGAATGCTCTCTCTAGATGTGGTTTTGGGATGTCCGATTAAATGTCACTTCTCAGTGTCATAGCCATAAAATACAATAAAAGGCAGTAAGATTTATAAAATTCAGACATATTGTGTACATACAACCAAAGATTGTATGCGTATAGCATTAGTCACCTCATTCCCGGTGGACGTGTTGTTGATTTTCTCGTGTGAGCGTGACTGGATAGCAAATGTAGACACCAAAGGTTGAGCGAGACAGGCTGTTTGCACGTCTCGTTAGACAAGTTATCGTCTCTTTCTTTTCTCAATTCCCTCTCAATTCTTTCTCACCTCCCTCTCACATTCATCCCACTTTCATACCCACCATCATCATTCTATCAAATTCAGCTCCAAAAATGTCTGAGAACACTGCGGAAAACGGCAAGGAGGCCGATAAAGTTGTTGAAGACACTGTCATGACTGATGAAGTCAAGGCTACCGAGACCGGGGTCGAAAATCCCCCGCCAAAGAAGAAGAAGAAGAAGAAGAGGTCCCAGGCGTATAATGACCGCCGCAAGACCCGAGAGTACAAGGACCAGCGCCGAGAGCGCCGCTATCTACGAAAAGTGGGAACTGAAGCCGTGAGTAGACCATTTCATCTCTCTTTATAGTTATCCCAAAGGATTGGACTAACAATATTCGGGTATATAACAGCCTCCCCCACCTCCCCACGTCCACGATCCCACTCTCCCTCCAAAGACCAAGCGGTCGTCCCGGCGCGCGAGCCGTAGACGAGCCAAAAAGGCGAAGAGTATGTATTGAGATACACTTGATACCGAGTACATACTAACAGCCAGTAGAAGCCGCCGCCGAAGCCGCCGAGGCAGCTGCCGTGCAAAACGCAGCCATAGCCGCAACCACCCACCTCCCCACCGCTACTCACCCAGGGAATTCCGAGGCAAATCCTTCGTCAGATAAGGGAGATGAGGAAATGGGAGAAGCTGAGGTTGAAATTGGTCTGGGTCCCGGCGGTATGACTCTCCCCTTTCGGGGTAAAACTTCTGTTTGAGTAGTGGCGGCGCCATCACGCATTTGATATGAACTCACTCTGTGCTCTTTAATTCTCGTCGGACATTACAAGATGTTACCTACAGTCTAAAATGACTATAGGGACTTGTAGACATACAAACTTTACCTAAGTGTTTTTGGTTGAGCCTTTTTGGTATAATTTAGTGAACTGTTCCCTTGGACATTCTGCAGTGAGCATAATCCGAACCCATGTCTCAATCAAACAGCCTTTCGGATGGCCAGTCCAATGGTCCCTCAAGCCGATCAAACAGTCCCAGAGGGTCCACCGGGTCCCAAACAACTTATCGGCCTCGGTCTCACCTGGCACTGGCTAGGAATCCTCAGCGGGAGGGCTTGTGGGGGAGGGCTCGGCGACAGGATAGGGTGCAGCAACAGGGGAATACGGGGAAGCAGGCGAGAGCGAGCCGGGAGCCGAGCCAGAGCTCGAAATATCTTCTCCGGTGACCGAAGAGCCAAGAGACGTAGGGGGCCCATTGGCCTCATTAGTAGCAGCAGCAGCAGAAGCCATCTCTTTCAGATTATTAGCACTCGCTTAGTATCAAGCCCTATAATGAAACATACTTCTCTTATTTGCCCTGTATCCTGACAACTAGGGAAAACCAGGATATTCGACAGGTTAAGACCAGGGAAGACTCAATCACTTACCACATCAACTCCATGGTCACGGAGGTACCGTCGGAAATGCGGTTCCTTTTCTTTTTCTTGGGGGCTTCCTCTGGCGGAGGGCCATCTATGGCGGTACCAAACACACGAGGGATGGACGGTGTTGATAGAAGAAGGCTTGGGATTGCGAAGGATAAGACGTGAAGAGAGAATAGGAGAGGAGAAATGACATCCATGGATGTCTCCGTGGGGAGAAACATGTAGAGAGAGGAAAGAACGAAGATGTGTATAGGCGTCGGGTGACTTTAAATAGAAGGAACGTCTTTACTGACTTGAATACAAGTCAATGAGCTGTTAAGATGATAGAATCAGAGACAATATGTTAGCATAGAATAAATTGCGCAAATCTTCTCTTACTAATTAATATTACCTACTAGATTGAGAATGCTTGAAGCGATAGACATCTGAAATAAGGGATATCAAAAGTGAGAGATATCTGAAATTATTTAGAGAGGAGAATACTAAGTTGCAGAAGGTAGTGCTGAGGCATATATGGTTGCTATGTCTCTGGCCCCTAGTAGACAGAGATTCATACAAGACTGTTATTCACCAATGACCGCCACTATACGGAAGTAGAGGAACGAGATTGACGATCTCGCGGCGTGACGTTACCCCGGGAGGGTGTCGAGGCAGTTAACATTGTGAAAATGAGTGTAGGAGCAACACTGTGTTAAAAAGAACTTGTGTCAGAATCTCTGTGATAAGGTAAAGTCCCTGAGAGCAGAATAATTACTGACCGTAAGAGCAAACAGTGAATTGGAAAGGCCAATAATATTTAGTTCACATGCATTTTGATACCGAAGTTTATGCTGTTGACGTACACTGAATGCTAACGTCACCCAATACCCTTCTATAAAGTGTACTGGGAGAATATCAAATTGTTATTATGTGACTAGAAATCTAATGAGTGACAAAAAAAAGTTGAACAAACCCAGCTTGAAGAGTGCGAGATTCTCGACGGCGACTTGCGGTCCAGGAGGTTCGAACCCAGGTATGTGACCTAGATGATAGTCTGTATGGTTCATGATCAACCTACCAACTAGGCCACTGGGTTTGCTGTATTTGCACAGTCAGTCCTCTTTTGTTTACGTAGTTTATGATATACGTTTTGAAAGCCCTGGCTATATACACAAACCTACTGTGCCATGCCTGAAATCTCGCTGAGCTGGCAATTGAGGCTGTGTGCAGGTGCCAAGAGTGTAGTTGTCCAGAATGAACGCTATAATCCAATGACTGTCAACTGCCGCTCAGCTAGGAAGGTCAGTGCGGCGCTCGGGTGAAGGCGGGTGATTTTCACTCAGTTGCCTTTGAACCACCTCGTTATACATCACATCCGGTGGCAATATATTAAACCTTTCGGATACCTTCAATTCGATCATACTTAGTCACTACCCCAAATTTTAGAAATGATCTTGTGTTTCACCTCACACTGGTATTCGAAATCCGATTTGCCTCCACACTCTTATACAGTGCATTAACTTCGGAATCCTGGTTTGAAACATGGTAGTCCATAGGTATGGCCATCGATCCCTCGGTTCTGTAGACCCTTTATGTAGATGATGGGGGTGGGATCTCGTCGAGTGTATTTTACACGAAACTGCTAAACAAATGACACCCCCCTCTAGTAACGGGTTTTCTCAGTGTATGCCTATCGGGCGTCTCCCCTGGTATGGCTTGTAAGATAGCTCAAAGGTCCCCCCCCTAAGGCTGTATCTCATTCATGGTATTACCGAGAGCTCTATTTAAAAGCACGAATATTTGGTTGAAATTTTTGCTTGATTATGTATATAAGGCTGGGTTTGGGGGCAAAGTCAGCTGCTGTCCATGCTCTGAGTACTATTCTTTGCTTATATGGGCTGTCCTGGGATGCGTAGGTGCCTAATCGGGCTGAGCAACGCTAGGTTGGTTATGCACGTATCAAGCGTTCACAAAAACGGGCTCTTCCGGCCCTCACAGTTTCCCTTCCAGCTTCCACTCCATGGAGACCCTCATCGGCCCGTTTCGTCCTCCGCTACGCTCTCTGAAATGGCGCAAAGAATTTTCTACCCGTCAGACGACCCTCTATCACGGACAGGATAATCGATTACGCGTCCCCGCCGATGGATCAGTGATTGACGAGTTCTTCCACAGAGTTAACCCAAATCTATCTCCACCCCGGCGCCATGAGCTGCTGAAACTCTTTCTTGAACAGACTGGAGCCCTGCGTTCGTTCACAGACATTATCGGGGGCGGCCAAAGTTCACCAGCAGATAGACGAGTGCTTGCTGTGATCGATGACCGGTGTGATCCATGCTTAAAGATTATGAGCATGCCAGAAAGTGCGTCTTTCCTGTCAGTTCGACAATGGGGGTCCGAAGAGTATATGCGACGCCCTCCTGAGGGGTTGAATGTTCGTGTCTGCGGCGTGGATGCGGAGACACTCTACACGCATCTTAATCAAGATGTACGTTCCTTTTCATCCGGATACTGGTTCTATTTTACTGACGTCTCCTCTAGAGATCAGGTCGTGCAGAGCGCCGAATCATGTATTTACCCCTTGTTATTGGTAAACTGTGTCTAATTTAACAGATATATGGTCGATTTGACACCTCTGGTGGCCCTCGCGTTGATCTCGAACGTCAATTATATGCATCTTCCCCAGGTGCGGTCATTTCTGTCACGATACGTGGCGTTTGACTCGTACATGGGAGTCTCGCAGGTATTTCCACTCTGGAAGAAGAAATGAAAGGATCGCTGACAATCAATCTAGACGCGTGAATTCACCCTTGAATTCCACCTGCCGCATTACGCCCTTCGACGAGACGACTACCGACTCCAAGACAATCGACGACTTCGGAAACACCGTCTCTTTCGTCTTTCTGGTCAGGATGCCGTTTACGAGGCCCAACTATCCCTGATCGTGTTCGAGGTTGATGACTTCTTCTGGACCGCCTTTTTCTGTGAGGATGCGTACTTCCGAGCCAGCAACCCGATCGCCGAGTACCTCCAGGATGAGGTGGATGGGCCATCGTCGGGTCTGCGGATGAGCCGGTTTCCTATTTGGGACCCTCAATACTATTTCCTTTCCATCTTAGTCATTCGCATAGGTCAGATCACAATGGAATGGGCGGTCTTGATGGAGATCATCGCGGGGAATCTTGACAAGCACGTAAATACCCACTCTACAGGACTTTTTGCAATCTTACTATCTACAAAATCTGAATTTCTGACTAGGATGACTTATTCCTGGAGGACGACCCGTCTCTGAGAAAAACGAAAGAATATACTTGGATCCTAGGCACATTACGGAGGCTTCGTAACCTATTAGCCAGAGTAATCGCGACGCTAGTCTCCTTTGACGCGAACAATGGCGTCTATTTTGAACTTGAAGCCGAGGGCGCCCTGTACGACAGGTTCCGCGAGTGTTTTTATCAGGTGCGCCAATTTACCGCCGAGCTGGCTACCGTCCAGATGATTTTGGACCAGCAGATCGAAACATTGGAGAAGATGTCGGATGTGGTATGTCGGGTCTAGTTTGCCGAACTCACACGTGCATATTTCTCTAATATATTCTAAGCTGGTGAATGCTTCCTCCCTCGCAGAGAGTATCACGGCCACCCGCCAGGGGGACAATATCCGTCTTTTGACGTATATCAGTATAGTGGGTCTCATCACTTATCTGCTAAGCCTAGCTAATGCAAAGCCAGATATACCTCCCTGTGACTCTGGTGACGGTGCGTTACGCAGTTTCTTATACTAGTTGCTATACTAATGCACAAAATAGGGTATCTTCAGTATGAACCAAGTCGGCAGCGAGAACGCATGGTGGAAATACTGGCTTTGTCTCATCTGTCTCACAGGTGGCACAATCACAGCAGCCGTGGGACTGCAGACGATACTTCCCCGGTGGGGACATGGGCAAGGGAAACAAGTTTGAATTCACTGAGCAGTGGGGCAGTTAGAACATGCTTGATGGCTGCATACGTAACACGTTGGTTGCATGTTATACAGCTTCGGACCGTCACCGCATTGACACTGAATCGTCAGTAGATCTCCGACAGTGGAGTGGGTAGGAGCTTTTTACACAGATATACATATATGCCACTTGAGACATCCCATATGTCGGACCTTGGCATTGCGCACATTTCTCATGCTGACATTCACCACATTTTTTTGCGTCTGCCGCGTTGTATGATTTACAATTTTCAAGACACTAGACGTTGATCAGAGTTGGATATTACAAAGCAACGTAGAGTCAGCTTACACAATACCAGTCTTTCCCTAACTGTATATCCAGACGGAAAGGAAATATATCCCGGGTAGGGAAGTCCATGTTGGCGTGAAATTCAGTAGAGAAAGAGAGAGAGAAGAGAGAAAGGAAGAGAGAGGAAGTGAGTAGAGAGATTAAGGTGAGAGATGAGAGGGGTAAAAAAGCAATTCCCCCACTGCAATATACCTAGGTACTAGGCACAGGGGCGTCTATCACCTGATGTCAGAATTGTCACCACCCTCTCACCCCAGTCTCCAGAAATCTCACATATATCACTCACACTCACTCCAAGTCAAATTTTCCTTGCCACTTTAACGTCTAAGACACCTCAAGAATCGGCTGCGTAGATCATATGGCTTAAGTACGGCCGAGCGGACGGGAAGCCCTGTTTTCCACGCCCTATGGTCGTATGTACCTGATTAGAAGTAGAAATATAATATATTGTTCAATGAACCGAAAAAAAAAGGCGTCGAATAAACTATTCAGAATCTATTAGGCATCGTTGGTTGTAACCCTGGAATAGGGGATCAATTGCTAGATGATTGGGTTAGGTTGGTAATATACATAGTATGTAGGCTGCTATTGCGAAAAACGTTACAACAAACCAATGGGTTATATAGTTTCAATGTCCTGTAGTCCGTATTTCACTGCGGTATTCAACATAGGTATTCGACGCGTGGTATAGAAATCGTCTGGTAATAATGGGTCGGACCGGCGACATAAAGAAAATCAAGTCACCGGTTCCGACTTGTGCATCCCTGCTCTCGGGAATTCCCTAGCCGTTCATAAAAAACCAACGTGGGAAGAAAGAGGATTCACGGGACATGAGGGTAACCATTCTCGATATTTATCCGGTATATGATATAGGGTGGAAGGGGTAAGTCTTAGAATCGTGACTCTGGTGTAGCCGTGCCAAGCGCCCAATATACAAATCTAGAAATTAGGTATCTTTTATATGACTTACCCATATAAAAGATACTTAGGCGCCATAAAAATCATCTCGACTCTCGAGTTACTCTGTAATTAGGGAAGATATAAGCAGATATATATAGTATAAAAGAAATCTATATTATTTAATCAAACTCCGGCAAAGAATATTATGTATACTAAAATAAGGATAATATCTATATTTCTCCGTATAACCTTTTTTATCTTATATCATTTTTATATGATTATTATTCTTCTATATTAGAATAAGAATTATTACTACTATGTTATGTCTACGGGGTGCCTAAGTACTTTTTGTATAAGCAAGTCGTATAAAAGATACCTAATTGCTAGATTTTTGGGAAATTGGCGTTTGCTGGGGCGCACACCAATATCCGGCAGGTCTATTGGGCGCTTGGCACGGCTACCTCCCTGAACATTTCTTGGGGGCAGATGTTGTCATATGGAAGACGAGACCGGACCACGGACCTAATTAGCTAGAAATCATTGCATGGAAATTTTATTAGCGTTATGGAGAGTTTTCGTGTTGATTAGAGCTCTTTGTCAGACTATTATACTTTGTATTTTCTTCTGATACAACTTCTCCCCCTGTCTATAGCGCACTCACTCCTACGACCCCGGCCGCGCTATGCCAAATTGACAAGTGATATCAAATCGGCTACAATCTATAATCCTCTCCCACACGTAACCTCATACATACGACCATAGGGTGTGGAAAACAGGGCTTCCCGTCCGCTCAGCCGTACTTAAGCCACATATTCTATACAGTCAATACTCAATTTGGCCCCAGCACCCAAGCAGCACTCTAGGGTGAGAGATGTGAGAACGGTGGAAGAATTCTCACCCTTAGGGTGATAAGGGCCAACTCACGCTAAGCCCATGCCTAGACTGAGCCAAATCCTGCAATACCGTAACCCCGCAAATGGGTCGGGTTTCGGGTAGACTTCTATAACCCGCAATGGGTTCACATTGCTGGGTAGTTCATAAGTCTCCTGTATACAAATTCGACTGATCCCTGCCCGGAAAACAAAAACCACATATTAAAACTAATGATGCGGTATATATTGTTTAATTATAGAGGGCAGTAGTTTGCGAGAAATTATTTGCACGAAGCCAGATTGTGACGAGCCAACGATATTCAAGTCAGGGCAAGCATTAAGTAAGTTATCTAATGAATGTGTATAGTGGATTGGATTTTATATTGCGCCATCCTATATGGTGAAACGAATTGGGTTTATTTACCGTTCCAGAATCCATCAAACGACATAATATAGAATAGGCTGTAGCATAAAGAAGGATATCCAGACCATATCAACAAGATTAAAGCTTGAACTCGTGTAAGGAACCAATCAGGCGTCTAATAGCATTTGCCCTCCAGTTATCAGGCTCCAGATAGGTACCATTCAAGTGGAACACGATGTTTGTTCCATTTCCATTCCTATAAACGGGCCAGGTCACGTTTGCTTTCAAATCTATTGTGAAGTTAGCAAAATAGTCTGCAACAAAAGGGTTGTTGGGGGTGAGTGTAAGCTTACTTTGGTGACCATTTGGGGTCAGTTTATTTGCAAAGTTCAGCCACATTTGACTCATGAGCGTGCTCAGATCATGGTATCTCTGCTGAAGTTCCGTGGAGTTTGATTCCAGTGGATTGACCTGATACCCGACGCCATCAAAATTTTTGAAAACGAAGGAAACTTCCTGGAAGTGTGTGGCCCCCAGGGTCTCAGGTGGTATACCATTAGGCACAGCATCAAAGCGATAGCTATACGAAGGAACGCCGTATTGAGCCCATTTCTGCGTGGTGTAACGTCTACCAGCATTGAACTGATAATCTCCCGCGTAAAGTGTCACTTTTCCCCAGAGACGACCAAATTCAGGACTTGGAGATAAGAGAACAGACCCTAGTTGAGCCTGGGCCACTTTGGGGGACAGTCTGTTGAGATATTGATCAACAAGATATTCAAGAGTACTGTTTTTGATAACCTTGTTCCCACTATACTGAACAATCATATTGCGGAAGTCGGCTGAAGTGTTCAGCCCACGGCCTCTGCTGTACGAGAATGCAGCTCCTTCATTTGTATTCGCTCCGATAAGAAGCGGACGCTTCACAAAGCGGCCATCCCTCAGAGCGATGGAGGGGGTATTCGTGATAATCCCGCCATCCATGACGGGATAGAAGCCAACACCTTCAAAGGCAGCCTTCAAAGCGTCTACTGGTACGGAGCGAAGGCATTGGAGTGTATCATCTTCACCAGTGCAGTTGGTCGAGTTGAGGACGCGGTTATAAAGGACATCCTGTTCATCCAGAGAGATCAAAGCTCTTGTGGTGAGAGGCCCGCCACTTTCAGCAATACCTGCATGAAACAGCCCGTCGTCGCGTCCTCCATATGCGAGGAAGTGGTGTCCAACTGATACAGCACCGGCCGATTCTCCTTGGATTGTGACTCTGGACGGGTCTCCACCGAATGCCATGATGTTCTCTTGGATCCAATGAAGAGCAAGTCGTTGGTCATAGAGACCAATGTTTGCGGCACCAGACTCATTGACCGCACGGCCTTGTAGGAATCCAAATCCAGAAAGTCGGTAATTGAAGCTAACTCCAATTGTAGGTTGACCCATTTTAACAGATTCTTGTGTAAGGAAAGACATGTTGTATCTTTGATCGGCACTACCTCCTTCCGAGAATCCACCGCCGTAGATCCAGACTAGAACAGGCAAAGAAGCATTGTCACTAACTCCACTCGGTCGTATGACATTGAGGGTTAGACAATCTTCGCTCTCCTCATGTTCAAATCCTGTCTGTGTGTAACCGGGTAGGGTTAAAGGGAGAGAGTGACACCAAGGGCCATAGGCCGTTGCTTGTTTTTCAGACCACGATTGATTGATGGTCTGTGGTTGTTTGAATCTGAGATCTCCAACTGGTGGCTGTGCGTACGGGATACCCAGGAAGAAATCTTGTTTATAATGCGAGTTTCGAGTTCCAATCAGCGTACCGTTTGTGATAGTAGCGACTGGTTGAGTCCGAGCCTGGATGGAGGTACTGTGACTCAAGCTTGAAAGCGATAAGAATTGTAAAATCAAAGATTTGAATCTCATGATGGAGATCGACCAGCAAATGAGACTGGATAATAGTAGTCAGATTGGAATAGGTAGGCAAAACCTCGGGATGTTCGTGTGGGAGTTATCAAGGCTTCTTTGTCGTCCTTATAGGTTCTTATACTGTGGCATTTAAATTAGTTTGCCCGCTTATCTCAGTAACAGTCAGTCAGGTTCATCCAGCCAGCTTCATAGCACGGGTCAGGAATAGATTCCGGTTCGGCAAAACTTCGGAGGCTAAATTTCAAACCCATAACAGTTCCGCCGCCGGGGGAAGATGCCAAGTCCGTCGTCAGACTCGGGAATTTTGAACTATATCCCGTTGCTTGGCAAATCCATACCGAAGGTCAAGACTGTTCAAATTGACTCTTGAGTCTTGGAAGTGATTTCACGGTGACAGATTAACGGTCCATGTCGACCTTTACATGCGAACCATTCTAGCCGTGATGCACTATGCAGGAGCATCCCGCAGTTTCTGAACGAAATAATCAGTACAATGCAAACCATCAGCTAATCAGAAAAGGTGGGCAGATCCCCGCGGTTCTTACACCATAGACCACTTAAGAGCGTGTGGGACTCTGAAATCATGGATGCGAGTTAGCCAAGAGCAGCACCATTATAAGCCAAACAATCAGAATAAATGCCAAGCACCCAACGCAAACAACAAGGCGCACAGCCTCATTGCCAATACCCAGATACTCGTTGGCGCTCACTTTTTGACATTAAAAGAAACAAGAAATGATGACAAATACTTAGCCTACGTAATTTACAGTGTTCTAGAAGCTAACGTCACTTCCATACGATAAACGGTGTGTTTCATATAGTGTTTACATAGTGGTAAGAAAATACGCCCGTTGAAGGGCTGCAAGTGTGGCGCATGACTCCCAGAACCAGGCTCGAATATTTTCGTAGAGACTACGGGGAATTAGTATAAGAGGGAGAGGGGGGCAGCCATAGGGTAATTTAGGAAATGATCAGGCAACGACATAGTTCAGGATCGACAGGGGCATTTGGGGAGACATCAGCATGCTATCCCGCCCATTTACAGAGTTTCCGACTTGACTTTGATGCAGTTCCTAAGTTCCAAGACCCCTATCTCGATCCAGGGATATGTGATTTCGGATAATGTGGTCCTTCCAGATCCGATTTCCTCTTAGTTGCATATCACATTTGTCGCTCTGGGGCAATAGTGTGTTCCTTGGCGAGCTTCTAGAATAATTGCAGATTGGGTGGAATTCATTGTGTTTGTCCGAACATCAGTGTGAATGTGCAGATTAAATTCTCTCCACTATGTAATGTTGATCAGTGGGGTCATTATATGTTTGGTAATTGGCTGGCGATGGGAACTAGGCTGTTAGCTGCAACTTGATGACATCTTCTTGCCGATTGGTGGGGTTTACCTATCTCCAGGGTCGATGACCGACACAACCTTGGCACGCGATTATTCGCGATTATTGGCGCCATCTGCCTGCCTGTTTCAAGCCCTGTTTTTTTTTTTTATAGGTTTGTTTTAAACGAATTTCTCTAAACTACCCAATGTCCAATAAGCTCCGTTTTATGCCACCAGAGCAGTAGTGTTCGGTCGCTGTCAATGCGACTCTTTACATACCCCAGAGATATTGAGATACCCCATATTCTGCTAATCGTTCCTGGTATTACTACAAACTATCCCACGAAATCATTTTAGCTACCTACAACTAGCGACTGCTTTCAAATGATAATTGTGACCCGCCCAATTTGGTTAAGAGGGAACAGCAGTTCACGCGTCCATTTTGGTCACATATTAGGTAGACCAATAACGCTCCAGGTGTCATAAATCTACATTATTCCCTACACTGCCGATCACTAACGTCGATCTTCCATCCATCAATCGATCTAGTCATGGTTGACGGATCTTTCAGCACGTCAGGATTCTTGGCGATACCATTTCGGGATGGCTCATTCATAAAAGATCACATAGGGGGCGTCATTCATAGTAAATCTCGCAGGCAGCCGAAAAGCTTTAAATGTTACCAATTATTACGACTCTTGACTAGGGTCACCTTGTACTATGTTGTAACACCATATCCACCAAGACCCTGGTACCATTTTGCGGGATAACCCGAGAATACACCCAAAATTCCACTTACGAAATCCCCACAGACCCTCTGTAAGTAGTGTGCATTCCTCAGGATCGTCCTCTGTCTCAAAATGGTGTGATCTGTACCTGTAAGGTGAAGGGGAAATCAAGGGGTATGTCTGTCATTGGCTATTTGTTGAAATGGCTCTTATAGGCAACTTGTCGGAAGCAAGCGACCCTGAGGAACATATAAGCCTACTGTCTTCAGTGTTCATCTTTCAACCTCTCTATCTCGAGAAACCCGATCCCATTGATGCAATAACCTGATCACCGATATGTGGCGCCCTGTTTTCTTCATCTTTCTGCTGCATAAGCTCACTTCATCTGAGCCTGTCTCAACAATCATCCACACTCCCCAATTGAGCGGCAGTAATGTTTCTCTTGGAGATGAACATTTCACAGGGCATGGCTGGATTGATACGATTCACGAAGATAACGAAACAACAATTGCGGATGTCTTATTTCTGCCAGGTGCCCGAACTAATTGGCATACCCATCATGGCGGTCAACTGTTACGCGTTGTCGCAGGATCTGGCTGGATTTGCGATGAAGGAGGCAAGCCCCAGCGTTTGATGGTGGGAGACCTTGCTTGGTGTCCTCCAGGAGTAACACATTGGCATGGGGCGAGTGATGGAAGCTATCTGATCCACCAAGCTATTGCCCATGGTGCAACATCATGGCTTGACGCCGTCTCGGATGAGGAGTACAATAAGACTAGGCTAGGGAGTGATCCTGAACGCAAGGGTTGAGTGGTCCGTTTGTGCGATGCGAAGAGGAACAATCCCACGGAGTTGACTGTTACGGAGTGTGTGTTTTATTTACAATGAATGCTTGCTTCACCATGGAGAGACATCTACGCTGAGGTGTATTGAAGTCTTTTTCAGCAGACTATGCAATTCTCATGTCATGGGGCACTTTCATGAGGTACTTCTGTACCTGATGTCTCAACCTGATTTATGCCATGCGACGCAGTTTATGTTTCTTCAAATAGTCGTGCAAGAGAGAATAGGTGGAACACCTGAAACTTTAACCAATTGGCGACAATATTGAGTTATTATTGTCTTTATCAGATAAAACGATTCTGGAAATTAATACCTGATGCAAATACAAGACTGATATCAATAGCTAGCTCTCATAGTGTGTTGTGAAGCTTATTCCTTAAATTGTGAGACCACTGGCTACTCACAAATAATCCACGACAATTTTGGGAGATCTATCCCAATAACGAACATAGACATCTGTAACCTCCCATCTTGATATATCCCTGGAGCCCCTCGAGACAGTTAAACCTATCTTTCTTAGTGCTCGCTGTTCCGTATGCGGCCATATCAAGAGGACGTGTTCCCTCGGACCGGAAGGTGGCAATTGCTGATTTTTTCATGAGTCTTCAATATGATCTTGATTGCCCCTTGCTTGGGCAACAATAAACTTCTTTTAATGCTAACTAACTATGTAGGTGAATTGCTTGATCATGGCGGGCGCCATATTGCGAGGACTTTTATACGAACTGGTATTATAATGAGCCAGCGGTATTCAAGTTGAAAAATCGTTGAATACATTGGCTGGAATGAAACCTAAAATATTATCTAGGATCTTGGTGAAATCAAGTAGTTTAATGGTCAAAAAGTTGATATATACTTGGAAAAAATTTATCTCCCAGTACCACCTCATCCCGTAGTAAATTTTCTACAACTAACTACTTGGTCAATCTACATCTTAATACTCCCTATGATAGACCAAAGAGACATACAACAGCATGTCTAAGTTGGTGGTCGCCTAGCGCTCACGGTTCGGGCGTGGGCGGGCGGCTCGCCGCTCTATTCATGGCACTCAGCGCAGATATCACCTAAATTTTCAGCCCGTGTAGCAAAATGGTACATTTCTAATCATGAGTAAAAGCTATAACTACCCTTCTTTTCCTATCAGTTTTTATCTCTCTAGCCTCGCCTTACCACTACAACCATACTCTGTCACTCTAGCCCAACCTCGCTTTGCTACAAGAAAACCGAAACGGATGCAAACCTGCCCACAGAGCGCTACTCGGAACAAGCAATGTTAGCGTCGGCTTAAAGGCATCTAGTCATGGACAAGTGCGAATCTGGACGTCAATTTGCTACTGCCTAGGTATCGCCCTAGAGACTAATTCTCCGCTTCGTTGCGTGATGCCAGTCCCATGGCTCCATCAGTAAACATGGAAAAAAGCCAGTCAGATCAGGGGTTCATTATTTGGCAGCTCATACTGGATCTGGAATGCTCAATTCAACCTTCTATTTGGGGCCCAACCGTATGAACAGCCTCCAACAGAGGATTTAGGCTACGAAAGCCACAGATCAGGCAAAAACGATTCCAGGTCAAGGTCTGAAAGCGATTTTTCCGGTAATCCATCCAAAAGGGAGAAAGTGAC